CAGAGTCAACCAGTGCTACAGAGTCAACCAGTGCTACAGAGTCAAGTAGTGGTGCAGAGTCAAGGGCTATTGGGCTATTTCTAGGGATTCCTCTGCTTGTGGCGTCATTTCAATTGGTCTAGACTTCGGCACTTCAAATACGCGTCACCCAGTCGGCGTTTCCCTGTTGTGGGTAGACTTTATCATGTGAAGACAGCGATGAATTCAGTGATTGGGTTGGCGTTGGTAACAGCATGTAACACTGCGCCGTTGGGCTGACCCGAGAAGCCGAGGAATTTTGGTCCCTGCTTTTTCTTTTACGCCACGTCCTATAGAAAGCTCGTTATGGGGTCTGTAAGCGTCGTATAGCGTCGCACAGACAGGAACAGAAAGGTCCACTTTGTGAATCCTACCAACTCTATTCCATTCAGCTCCGAGGAATGGAAAATGCTGGAGGAATATGAGTTACTTTTATGAAGCAGTACTTGAGGAGAATAGCTATTGAAGTGTCTAAATTTAATGATCTGAAAACAGGTAGATGTTATGCTTGTCCTATTTTTGAGTTTTTCTGAGGCGTAAGTCCCCATTCTCAGGCACCATTGCCGGCTAAGCGAGCTAAGTCTCGGCTATTGGTTGTTAGTGTCTTCCAAGAATAAACCATCAAGTCCCATCGAGCTATTCCCAATATGGATCAATAATGCCTTCTTGACGCTGATCTAGAACATCTGTCTTGGGCCAGCTACTGCCGAAAGCGGCATGTCAATTTCCCAGGGTCCATCTAAAGCCAATACTACGACTCGTTGCATCGTATGACAGATTCTACCTTGCGGATATAGGGCTGTGCATCCCTTAAGCACCTGCCATTTATATCGCCCTTGTTCCTCGGGCTGCCTCTTTCTTGTTAATTTAATGTTTCGGCGTTTCCACACATTCGTTCAATATGGGTCTTTTGCAAAATTCAAGACGTGCGTTGTTGGTCAGCTGTATACTTGGACTTAGTACATTCTTTTTAAGCACCTACCTGCTCTTTTCATCCCAGCCACCAAGGTATTGTCTTCCCCTTTGTGCAGAACGAAACTGACCAACAATGATAGTACGGCCAACATTAGTACCGCGACTACTCCAAGCCAACCCGCACAACCCTCGAAACCGCAAATAACAGACTTTGTCAAGAGAAACTGCCACAAGAAGATCCGAGAGGAGCACAAGCGCAATGCTACCGATGCTCAAGAACAAACCCTGGCTTCGACGCTTGCCGAACTATGGAAGCCTTTAGTACATCCCATCACAGAACGGGTGTTTGTCACCGATAAGGGGGAGCGATTTGAAGTTCCGGAAGGACAGATGCGATGGAAGAGACCGTTGGGGAAGAAGGTTGTTCTTATCGATACGGATACACGGCTTGATGCAAGCAGCGAGAATACAATGTTAAACGAGTGTCCGTTGTACTACCCGACTCTTCCTGGACGAACTGCTGGACATCTCAACCACTATCTATATGGTACATTCCAATACCTACCAATTGACTACACGACTAACTTTATCAGCTATGATCCACGGTTACGACTACCGTTTAGTAAAAGCAGCAGACTACCCCGACCGACACGGTACATGGATCAAACCCGCCATCGCAAAAGAAGCTTTAAAATCCTACGACTTCGTTGTCTCACTCGACTCGGACGCTGTCTTCACCCACCTGGACCTCCCACTAGAATGGCTTATGAACCTCTGGGACGTGCACCCCGAAACCCTCATCGCAATGGCCTACGACCTCGACATAAAAGCCGACTACGACTCACACAACAATCTCATCCTGAACACAGGCTTCGTAATTTCACAAGCCAGCAAGCGCACACAAGAGCTATATTCCAGATGGGAAGATTGTCCCCGCAGCATTCCAGGCTGCGAAGCCTGGAATCTGAAGTGGGCGCATGAACAAAGCGCCTTTTCATATTACATCCGCTACGAATTCAACGGAACGCATGAGATCAAGGGGATTCCGTGTAATCATGCCAACGGGAATGAATTTGCGAATGAGGGGAACTGTGAATGCCAGGGTGTTTTTGTGAGCCATAATTGGCATACTAAGCACAAGGTTCCTGAGCTGCTTAGTAGGAGTGTTATGACTGCTATGGCGAGGAGATTGCATGGGCAGTTTCAGAAGGATATTGGGGGGTTTTTTACGGATGTTTCGAATGAGACTTATCCTTTGAAGGATATCACGATATAGACTGTATCACCATCAAGAGCGATAGATCATTTACACAGCTTCGTGAAAAGATTGGGTGGATAAGAGCGAGTGAATACGCGGGTTATTGTTAGCATGAACCAACATGCATAATTGAACGTCATGAAACCGCCAAGTGTCGTTGCGCAACCCCAGCAAACGGCGTAGAAGATCCACCACTATCCCCGACCCACCACTCACAAGTCACGGAACAGCGATCCGGGATGCAATCTGATGGCGCAGTACAAATCAGACCATGGACGGATAAAATGGATTTCACTGCAACATCGAACCAACATATCAGAAACTTGTTAAAAAGCCAACCCCGCTCTCTCTATTTCTCGAATTCTCGTTACCGTAATTATTCCTCTTTGTATTGGAGATTGAACAAATTAAACGAAATGGCTAGCGCTCCTGAAACAAAGATTACTTCCGGGAAGACGACCCCAAAGAAAGATGTATCATCCGGGGCGTTGTCTCCGGCACATGGCTCTGACACAGACGATGACCATCTGGTGAGTTGATGATATGCTAGTGAGGATGGCAATTGACTGATGGCCTTGTAGGAACCGGAAGTCCACGCCGACGATGATTCGGCCATTGGAGTCGTGAGTCCCCAGTCTACAGACAAGATGACCACTGATCTTATCGGTATCAGACCGATGATGAAATATCCACCGCGTCTTTGCGCTCCAGCATTCGAGAATATCATATGATCAACGGTCGTGGATACCATCGAGATGAGAGTTCGTAATTCGGTGAAGAAAACACGTACTCGATACAACTAACGTCATCCATAGCATACTATCTTCCCAGCGATGAGGTACCCTGCTAAGCCCATACTGCTTCGAGATGTGACTGACACTTTTGCAGCATGAATCTGAAAGACTAGGTATAACTCACGTAATTGTTTGAAGAACACGACTCACCGAAACTTGACAGATCTTCAGAACCATCAGCTGTTACTCACATTCGGTGGCAAGAAATGCTTTGCGCCCAATGCCGAGACAGCAAAGCGAGTCCTCGATGTTGGCACAGGCACGGGGATCTGGGCAGTCGAGTTTGGTACGTCAATCCCAATATGCATTAGCGTAACTTACTGATGTCTTTCAGCTGATGAACATCCTCATGCCGAGGTAAGCAACACCATCAATTTTAGTTCACATTACTTACCAACAGGTCGTTGGTATCGACATTGCCGCTATCCAACCAGCATTGTAAATATCATCGTCGCTCAATTGGCCACTGCTGATGATGCTAGTGTCCCTCCAAACTGCACCTTCGAGATTGACGACGCGGAGCAAGAGTGGACTTGGTCCAAGCCTTTTGACTACATCTTCGTCCGTCTTATGTCCGGGAGTTTCACAGACTGGGACAAGTTCACCAAGCAATGTTACAAGTAACCATCCTTTTTCTCTTTCACTCACCCTAATATTCCCTCACAAACCTCCTCTGACCGGTTTCCAGAAACCTAGAACCAGGCGGCTGGCTGGAAATAATCGACCCAACCTTCCCCGCCAAATCCGACGACGGAACCCTCAAACCCACCTCGCCCCTGCACAAATGGGATGAACTAACTGTTAAAGGCGCCGCAACACTCGGTCGGCCGTTCATCGAAACTGAAGACCATGAGCGTCGCATGAAAGAAGCAGGCTTCATCAACGTCACTAAGAAAACGTTCAAATGGCCCAGCAACACCTGGCCCAAGGATCCCAAGTATAAAGAAATCGGCCTCTGGACGCTTGCAAATATCGAGAGGAACTTGGAGAGTATTAGTTCGTTTTTGCTAAGGCAGGGATTGGGGATGACGCATGAGGAGATTGTGGTTTTCATTGCGAATGTTAGGGAGGAGATGAGGAATACTAAGGTTCATGCTTATTGGGAGGTGTAAGTTTTATTCTATGGTGGTTGGAATGATGCTGACGATTTGTAGGATTGTGGTCACTGGTCAGAAGCCAGAGTAGTGACACTCAAGAGCCATTACCATCCAGGCTTTCTTGAAAGGTTGAACCTTCATGGCCTACTATTGAAAAAGCAAATCGCAAGAGTCATTACATACTTCTGCTTTTTAACAACACAACGATCATCGGAAACTCCTCAGTCTTCCTACTCACAAAAAGCTGTATCTCGTCCTTATACCTGCCCATAAATAGTTACTCGCAGTTTATGCACAAGGGATGATCCCTGAGTAAGGATCTGCAGCTTACTCCCATACCTCAAGCTCTTGATGAGCTTAGTGCGTAGAGGTGATAAGGTCTCCGAGTCTTCTACGTCCCAGATGTTGGTGTGCATCCGCCATTCATAATTCTTCTGGATATTGTGCTGTATCGTAAGCGTCTCAGATCTTTCGTCGCTATATTCCACACGTACGGCAAGTCCAGTTGTGGTGGAACCCAAATAGGTGTAATTGCACTCGGGTGGAGCGACTTTTTCGTCTGAAAGTCTGTCATAAAAGGATGCAGCAGACATTGTTTCAAACACAACCGCGCGCACCGGTAGTTTAATACGTTCATCCACGCGGACTTCCATCACCAGACCATCTTCTAAGTTACCCCTGAAGCCGAGTCGACGTGTCTCGAACGGTAGATCCTCTCCCCACATCTTTTGTTTAAAACTCAAGTTACCTCCTGGCGAGTAGGGCTCAGGGGCGTGACGTTGGTATCCTGCAGCCATAGAACACTGATCGTCCCATGGAAGTATAGAATAGGCCCCGTGCTCTTCCAGAATAGATATGATCTCTTCGTTCTCGAGTTCGAAAGCATAGTCGAGGGCATTCTTTCCATTCCCACAAGGCTGGTTGACATCCAGACCATTCTGTATGGCTCTCTGAAACTCTCTTATAAATCCCCCTTTGACGAGCAACAAATATTCTTGGTAGTTGATTGAGGGCTTTTTGGATATTGACTTTGCTACCAAGGGGGCCAATAGCTCGAGTTCTGGCGTGTAAAGAAGGTCAACAGCTGACAGGTCATTCCCGGGCCGCCGCAAAGTTAGGGTAGCACCATGTTCAAGTAGAAGGTATACAATGTCAATTCGGCCAAACAGTAGTGCGTCGTAGATTGGAGGACGATGGGACTCGCCATTGTAATCCTTGCCATCAGGACACGCCCCTGCCTGGAGCAACTCCATAGCCATCGCGGTTCTACCATGTGCTGCTGCAAGTCCCAACGGCGTCAGTGAAAGCCCTCCCTCAATAGGATGCTGTCTTTCATGCCTATAGACCGACTGGATGGAAGCCTTCAAAGAGAATATGACGGCCCAATGCAATCCTCCAATGCGACCAGGAGCCACTGCTGCATTCTCATCCATAAGCGTAGCTAGTTGTCTATTTGGTTTGATTTCAAACATTTCAGCCACTTGTTGCAGAACATGACTGTTCCAGTCGCTGTGCTGAGACTTAAGAACCGGTCTACTGCCAGTCGGATCTCCTGATTCGACTCAACATCATCCAGTACCCTCGATATATCCGTTCCCCAATACTTAAGGGAATAAGTGAGAAGGGGGTGGCGGTGTTTAAACTGTTCGGTACAGGGAGGATTGCGTAGAGGCTCGTTCAAGTCACCCAGAGAAAGATAGCGTATCAGGGTAAGATGTATGTGTGCCTGGATGTTCGGGAACCAGGTTTTCTGCGTCTCCGGCCTCATCAAATAGTCACTGATTGTTTTATGAGCAACCAGAACCTCTTGATCCCTTGGGTCAACAACCAATAGTTCGCCACATAGTGTGTCTATACCCTGAAAAATTTCGTTCTGACTGTTATACTTGGTATCTGTCGCTCTGATAGCTAAGGCCTGTTTCAGCTGTTTTGATGTCATGCGGGCCTTCGCAAAGACCACCCAGAACAGAGCCTGTATAGCGCTGCAAGGCATATTCCCTTCAGGCTTTCTATAAGCTTCAGCCAAACGCTGGAGTCCCTTCTCATAGGCCTGTGAGGCCTCTGCTGGTAAGTGTTGAATGATGTCCCAACATTCAGCCTCGCTCTCCGCCTTGAGGACCTCGTCCATATGCAGCTTAGCCATTAGGAATGTTCCATCGCATTTGCACTTGAGTTCTGTAATAACATGCTTGGTGGCTTGGTGATGAAGGAACAAATGATTTCGCGACCTTGAAATGCGATCATGAATGTAAAGCTCAATATCGTGAGCAGTTGCTCGAAGTACGAGTTTTGGCTCCTCAACAGCCAGTGCTGTTATGTTAGCGTAAGGTCTTGATGTGATCATCAGCCGGCATTGGTTATTGCGTTTCAGTACGTCTCGCAGCATGTCGACAACATCTCTTTGGTAGTCTGATGGGACTTCATCGAGTCCATCTAAAATAAGGAGAGTCTTCCCGGCTTTGGAGATCGTGTAGCTCAAAACCTCCATCTTAAGTGCTTTCTGATCCTTTTCGGGTAGAAACGGGCCCGCTTCCATTTTCGGTATCCATTTCCTCAGGGTCTCGGGATCAACCGTGAGACCCCCAATAGAGTGTTCCAGTTGACACCAAAGACTCATGACAATATCAAGATGGTTATTGAGGCCTGGCAAGTCTGATGATCACAGAACACACGAGCCACATGATACGATGGGGGACTTCCAGCCTCTTCTCGAAGGGTGGTGCTGACGTATTCACTGTCGCTTCATTAGTCCATTGATCCTGTTAGTCGATTTAGTGAGAAGCTTACGCCATCCCAGTTTTGCCCGCTCCCTCTATAAAGCGTTAAAGGATATCAGTTAAGATTGGTTGGGGGCCTTATGTATACCAAATACCCAAGGAATTCCGCTTTCCGATTTACCCCAGTCTAAGTACTGTTCGTTCGTCCAAATCCATTCGATAGTCCCTTTGGTGAGGTTCTGCACCCTCGTGGGTGTTTTCAAAAGAGAGGCGTGAATATCTGGCGTTAAAAAGGAAACAAGCCTTCGAAGCTTCCCATCTTTCTGCGGTTAGCAGCTTGAGCAAATGGACAGCAAAGGGTAATATGGTAATCGGTGAAGCAAGATAATGATACACTAGCAGATACCAATATGTCCAAGGCATTCGGAAGTTTATGGTAGGGTTAGAGGTAAGAGATATATACTGACCTTCTGTGTCCTGCGTTTGGAAGACTTTCCTTACTTGTTCATCTAGCTTTTCAATTGCCTCGATATCTTCCCTAGCTTTGTTTCTTCTCGCAGGCCATAGCAGGCGGTTTAATCGTCTTTTGGAGCCGCCCTTTTCTTCAACAAGTCGTTTCTGCACGCTGGCCATCCGATCTTCGATTTGGGCATTGATACTGTCGAATACTATCCTGTTTTGGCCAGTCAGACAAGTAGACACATCTATGAATCCACGTAGTGTGTCCGCCAGGGTTTGAATCCATTTGCGCAATTCCTCTTTCTCTTTATTAGCGTTGTAGATAGTCCGTGCCGCATCGACGATTTTTATAGTTGCATCGATAATAGCAAGAACATCGCCAACAGATGTCATGGTTGTCAGTGAGGTGTAGAATGACGACTTGATGTAGAAAAATTCGGTAGGGTGTACAGAAGCAATTTGCGGGGGCTAGATCTCTCTTATGAGAAGCTAGGGCCAGTGATTGTCACCCATAATTATACGCTAGACTCAGCCACCAGGCCAAGGAGTGTTTGCCTTGGGCACAAATGCATACACTTGCATAAGAATGGGAGTACAATTATCAAGACATAGGTGCTACTGCTCTGTGATTTGCTGGGATGTTACACAGTGTCTTATCAACCAGCAGTCAATTGGCTCGAAGGAATACGAAGGCGCGATCTAGCGATGCAGGACTTTGACCTCAGCCAATGGGATTCCGAAGTATCAGATCACCCACCCAGGGCTGATAGTAAGGCTCTGTTTGCCGCACGACTTTATCAATAAGTTCAATCAAGTATATGGACTTCTAATAACATGTAAAGTATGTCTAGACACCACATAGTTGGCGCAACGAATTATAATAAGGGTTTAATCCTTCAATGTCTTTCATTCTATGTACAATCTCTTATCTTACAAATGTCCACCACTAATAAGCGACGGGAGGCCAGCCAATCTAATCGATGATCCAGTTTCCTATCCAATACTTAGATCACATCAGGTGTATCCTCAGCCTCCTTCTTCTCGAGAGGCTTATCCAATCCAAGACGCTGGCGAGTGGTGTAGTGAGCGATGGAGCCGTTGGGATCAGCCTCGGTGATGAGCTCCTTGCGACGAGTGTCAACCAGAAGTCGGATCAGGTCAGGTCGCATGTAGTGACCGGCAAAGTCAGCCAAGACCTTAGTAAGGTGGCACTCGTTGAGGTCAATGTCGACAAAGAGAAGACCATCGAAGTCCTTCTCAGGCTTGACGACCAAGCTTCCATCAGGTCGGTAGATACGAGCATGGCCGTTGTAAACGGAGGGGTCAGTCTCAGGCTCGACACCCTCGGGAGTGTTAATCTTGAGACCCTCAACAGAGAGACGCTGGAAGGGAGCAAGAGTCCAAGTACCAGTCTCAATGGCGTACTCGGGAGTAACGAGGTCGGAAGCAGGGTCGGCGTAGTTGGTAGCAGGGTCAGGGTGAACCTGACGCTCCTTGCCAGGGTAGACAGGCCAAGCAGCAACATGGACCTGCTCACCAGCAGAGACGTTGAGAGACTTGAGAAAAGGGTTCATGTTCTCCCAGCAGTTCAGCTGACCGACACGGCCGATGTCAGTCTCGCTGACGGACATGAAGGTGTCACCAGAGCCATCACCGTAGACAAGCTTCTCGACATGAGTAGGCTTGATCTTGCGACGGTGGTTGATAACATTGCCATCAGGACCGATGAGGACCTGAGAGAGGTAGAGAGTGGCGTGGTCGATCTCAGAGAAACCGAGAGAGACGTAGATCTGGTTATCCCGAGCGGAACGTCGGATACGGCGCATCTCCTCGGAGTCGACGGCCATAGAGTTCTCGCGGTATCGCTTGAGCATGGGGAGGGATTGGAGGTAGGTGACCTTCCACATCCAGTAAGGATAACCGGGGATCCCTGGGAGTGTCAATTATAGCAAAGATAAGAGGGATGGGGGATAACTTACAAACTTCAGGGAAGGCGACGAACTTGCAGCCTGCTTGACCGGCTTCGTTGATGAAGTCGATGGTCTTGCGAACACCGCCCTCGAGGTCGAACCACTGGTATTGTTAGTGAGTTGGAAGGGGTTTGGCTGATGTAGGGAGACTTACTCCAGGCTCGGAGGTGACAGCGGCAGCCTTGTACTTGGTGATAGCCATGTTGAAGATTGTTGAAGTTGATTGTTGAAGTTGTTTAGTAGTGTGTTTGTGAGTGATGATGAGAGTGATATTGATGAATTGGACGAGACAACTCTGGATATTTATACCAAGTCTCACGTTCTACAAAGCGCTGACTTTTCTTAATTCACAAAGCCCGAACGCCGACCGCTCCGGCCATGTCCATTGATGTTCATGATCAATGCACCATACAGCATCATCTTTTGCATCATTTGTCCCCATATTGTAGCATGTATACACCTAATCATCCAAGATCCAACCAATCAGGGAGTAGTACCATCAGCTTCCTGCATCTGCCGGTAGTGGATAGCTTCCGGAGCCGTTAGATTCTAGTCAGGGCGGGTTCGCCCGAGCGGCGTTATCGGGAACTAATCGCCTGATAGCCCACATGTAAAGGTGTGGCATGCAGAGCGGTAGAGAGAAGATGCCGCTGCGGCGTGATGCGGGCCGCAAGTTGATAAGGCGTGCGGCGGTGCGGCGACGCACCAGCCACAACAAATGCGACGTACAGCACATTAGGAAGCCCGGCGACCAATAGCAAGCTGCCAGCCCTCTCCAGCACATACGAAGCTGCCAACGTAATAACTTGCTCGATCACCAAGTGGATGAGTGATGCCGCAATGTTTTTTTCTATCATGCGCGCATATTCCACTTATCTTGATACTTGTAGCTGCTCCGACAATGCCCGGATCGAGCCGCATTATTGATTGCGTGGGTATCAGCCGATAGGAAGCATTCGTATCCGGATAGAGATAGCGGTGATGGAATCAGCATTGTTGTAGATTAACGTAGAGTATTGGTTCATTGGCAATGCGGTATCATGTGAGTGCCCAGATGATTAAAAATGTGGGTTCATTGCAGTATGTACCGTGATAAGAACACAATTTCGTGGCAGATATCCATTGACCAGTCAATTAGATTTATCGCGGGTTGATAGGTTGTAGATGTTCAGAAAGATTAGAGAGATAAACTCAGATATCGACTAAAATGAGAAGCCACTTATGCACTATGGAAGACATCTTGCTCGCGATTATCTAGTCCTCAACGTGACTTGTGTTGCTTGAAAAACAGCTCGCAATGCCATTACCCTAAAGTGGAAAGTTTGCATTGCCCGTTTCAGCCTGTCTCCACTCGCTGCCACGTTTCAGATCGGAAATAAGGTTATCTAATCTCTTAGCCGAGACAAGCGTCGATCTCCCTGCGCTTGCAGGGAAATGACGTCACGTCTCATCGCGTCGCAAAAAGTCTAAGTCGAAATTCATCCAATCGTGTGACATTTTCAAAATTGCAGGCAATGAACTCTATCAGTCTCGCCGAAAATAACACAATTTGGGTGAATAAAAAGAACATATCATAATGTCCCGTCCGTATCTTCGCAAGAAGAAAAAAAAAACACACATCGACCAACACCAACACCAACAATACCACTAACGCCGATAGCGACACCGTCACCATGATATCCCGCGCTTTGCTCGTCATCGAGCCCATCGTATACGGCATACTGCTCCTCCCTGTAGCCTATCTCTTGAAACTCCATGGCAAACCAGGCTTTCTATGGACGCTGTACCTTACACTGTTCTCCCTCCTCCACGTCATCGGCGGTATCATGATGCTTTGCGAAAGCAAGCATGCTCTGATAATCTTGAACATCTGTGTGGGTATTCTCATCCTTGCGACCTCGGCAATTTGGTTTGAATTGTAAGTAAAACTGGGATAGATTCTAGCCTGGAATGCTGACATTTGATAGAAATCACCACTGGGAGACGAACAATGCGATGCAAAAGATCAAAGTTGCCATAATCCACATTCTGGTTATCGTGGGCGAACTTTTGTTGATCTTGGGTGCCACTGATCCCGGTGCGCAAGGCAGCGCGCAGGTCAAGATCGGCATCGGTTTGGGATGTCTGGCAGTGGCTGCCAAGCTCATGGTCATCCAAGCCATCGTCGCCATCGTCGAAAAGGACTGCTCTTGGAAAGACGACAAGAGCAGAGTGAGTCACGAAGAACCCTTCAAAAGGAACCAACTGACATTTTCCCAGCTCCTCTTTGCAACCACATTCGGTTCCGTCTGCCTCTGCGTCCGCGTCATCTACTCGATGTGCGTCATGACAAAAACGTTTGCTCAGCAAGAACGATGTGCATCAAGCATGCAGGGCATTTACTTTGTGTTGCTCCCCGAGGCCCTTACTGCCATTGCCTATCTGGCTGTTGGGCTGTGGACGCGAAACATTGGCGAGTCCCAGACAGAAGACGCGAAAGAAGACACTCCTGACTTGGATGAACAGGCACCACCACCGATGCCGATGCCCCCGATGCCGCCTATGCCTAACGTGGACGAACCAGCGTGGGGCGTGCCACACCCAGTTCCTATCGCACCAAGACCGAGACCTGCTGTGGCGGAATTGGCAGCGCAGGCGGCGGAGGCGCGACGGGACAGGCAGCCAGAAGCTTATGAGATGAACCAGTTTGATCCTCTTGACGAGTGGCAAAATGTGGAGTTGGCGAGTTAGTTGTTTTTCACAACAAAACTTTACGACAGGCTGTAAGCTTAGAAAGTTCAAGGTCGCCCCACGACAGGGACCAAAGAGGAGGTGTCAGTTCTTTTTAGTGTTTTACTTCAATCAATTTGAGTTTTTCATCAACACCATATGTCCATCTTCAAAACCTTCTAGAAGTGACCATAGGGCTGTGCCGTGAGAACCTAAGGGCAAATCACTTTTACAGTTTCGAAGAGGGCCCGGCACAATGTAAGCCCGCATGCTGACTGTATTCACAGACCTCGGTGACAAGCAAAAGTACAAAGCGGTTCCAGCGGTGCAATGTTGAGCTTGCGATCAAAAATGCATGGAACAATGCCATCACACAGTACCTAGAAGAGAGTGCGCCACTAGACTGAATGGCTGGTGGCTCTTAGCATGTCTCACTTCAAGACGCGCATCATGAGTCGTCGAAAAAGCATTCTTTGTAGGAAGGATGGGACGCGGGATTTCTGCCTGAGGATGGGTGGGGAGCTCCCATGGGGCACCTCTTGAAAGTTCAGGTGGCCACCATATGATAGGCCCAGTAAGTCAGCGGCAGCCTGAGGGGAGCCAGGAGAGTAAGCTATATAAGCTTTAAACTCACCATCCCCTCTGTAGATAGCGTATGTAGCTCTATGGTGTGTCGCAGTGGTCAAAGATTGCAGGCGTACGATTTGGGTTTCGTAGCTAGGAGTCTGGGGTTCGAACGGACGCTGGGGTCTAAAAATGTGGTTCATAGCCCATAGCCCATAGCCCATAGCCTACAGTCCATAGTCCACAGTAGGGAGTCAGTAGTCTGTCAGGTCCATAGGTGACCTCGGCTGTGGCTGTGACTGACTGTGACTGACTGTGATAGTGGCTATGACTGTGTAAAATGCGCAAACGTAATCGCGTGTAATCGTGAACGTAACCGTATTTTTGCTTGCCATATCTTTGCATCGCGTAGTGAAATTGAATGGAGTCCCCATGGCTTTAATTACCCCGATCGTTAGATTTCTTTTTATTTACTGTAGTTATTTTTCCTGTTAATTATCAATGACTTTTACCTGTAACCTGGTACACCTTTCCTTTCTTTAACAAGAATTGTCCCACTAACAATTAATTCGGTGGCCTTTGTGTGTTTCTCGACTCCCAATCTCTGATTATTGCGAATATGTTGTACCCATCTTAGGTCACTTAGCTACCAATACCGAAACATGCGATATCTTCACTCATGACGAACTATACTGCGGGTTCAGTTGGATATGCCCGGCCTCCCGACGGCCTGAGATGCCCTTTCGTCTCCCGACATCGGCACCGAGTGAAACTTTACAAGGCTACACCGAGCTATGTAATAATACCAAGGGGGTGTGAGCCAGTTCCACGGTGCTCGCGGTGCGTATCTGGCCCATCCTAACAATAGTAACGCCACCAAAGGAGAAAACATTGTCCTTGAACCAAAGGAGGATTGGATTTGGATACTCTCTCAGCCGTCCTTCCAGGATTGAGCCTTGCAGTAGTACTATAACTATTGCTTACTGTGACTGGCACATTTACCTATGTGGCCTATCAACGATGAACGCTGGGTTAGCGACTACTCTCGCACAACCTCTTAGAAATTCTTTTGTACTCCTCGCCGTTCTGGAGTTCCCGAGGTATCAATTCCAAGATGGGCTGAGAATATACCACTTGAACACCGCCATCTAGTAGGATATGCATAATCTCGAAGAGACCCTCTCTCGCAGCTATCGCCAAGGGAGTATCATCAACTCTGCCTACATATCTCTTCACGGTGGCCCCCTCCCTTATTAGTAGTTTTACCAAATCGCCACATTTTCTCCTCACTGCCATCTTCAAAAGTTCAAAGCTTTGCTCTTCATTCATATCCGCTCCTGCGTTGATGAGAAGCTCAACGATGTCCAACCTTGGATGCATAAGGGAGCAAGCTGTTCTAAGGGGCGTGAAGCCTCCTGACGGCCGTCGGTTGACATCGGCGCCTGATGCAAGTAACAGGTTGATGATTTTGATGTCTCTGTTTTGAATGCTAAGTCCCAGAGGTGTAACACCCGATCCAAAAGGTGGGATATGGCTTGTATCGGGATTTGCGCCCGCCCTCAGGAGAAGATTTGTAACTTCTTCTTGAGATGTTCTGCAAGCTCTTTGCAGGGCGGTCATACTATATCCTGATAATTCGGTATCATCTATGTGAGTTCCTGCCCTGATCAGTATCTCGCAAGCCTGAACCCCCTTGTAACCACCAAGATCTACTGCTTGTTCAAGTGCATTCCGGTAGGAACGAGTCGGTAGGTCGGGGTTTATGCCTTCTCCGAGGAGGTATTCCATGGTTTCAAACTGTCCTGCCTTGATAGCTTCCATGAGAGGACGCTTCTCGGGACGACCATTGCCGCCGTCGAGGTCCACGCCTGCGTTGACAAACACCTTCATAATCTCAACATGACCACAGTGCGCCGCTCTACAACACCACCCGCTAAGTTCAGAGCCCTCTATATCTGTTTCGAGCATATGCGATAACAGTTCGACGTCCTTCTTGTCAATAGCATACTCAAACATCGCCGTTCGGAATTGCGCAAAAAGTGTTTTGAAGGTGATCACAATATGCAAGAGGGCAGAGTGTTCAGTAGACATCGCCCAGTTGATAAGGACTTCGTCGATAGCTTGGTGGTGTTCTTCGGAAACGGGCGATGCAGCCAATAAATGCCCGTTGATGACCATACTTGTCCAAAGATGCCATACGAGGCATTGCTGATGGTCGAATTTAGCAGAGTGTGAAAGCCAATGTGCCGTAGCATACGAAAGAAACGGATGGTGGAAAACCATTGTCTCATGAAAAGCTATACCAGATGCTGGCGTACACGCAGCAATAGTCCCGTCGATATCAGCAGTCCGTGCCCCGCGACCACGAAGTAGGAAGTTGCGCCAGCCGAACTCATTACTGAGGGCCTGCTGACAGATTTCTTCTGGGGAGATTGGTGGTAGAGCTTGACGTTGTCGAGTTAAGGTATTCTTGAAATCATTGAAGTTCAGGTAAGTAACAACAATTTCTCCAATATATCGATCAGCTTCGTCCATATTAATATAGAAATCATTAAAGGCTGACTTGATCGGCGCCGTAAGAAAGAACTTTTGAACTGAGGAATGGATAAAATGAACCGTTTTGGTCTCATAATCGACCTCGACGAGCCCTTGAAACCAGCAGTCAATCAGATGAATGCCGTTCAAGTATCGGTCTTCGATAGAGTACTTTTGAAGCACGCGGATCAGACAACATTCTTGGAGTTGGGAAAGTGAGAGTGGTTGTTTTGCCGCCACTATCCAAGGAAGGATTGCTTGAATGGTCTCCTCCTTTCCCTCAGAGATGATCCGTACCAGAGCCCGATTGAAAACGTCTGCTAGGCTTTTTGGTAGATTCTTCAGGGAAATCGCATCTCGTATCTTTTCGTTATTCGGCTGAACGCAGAGGTCCCTCAGGACAAGAGTAACCCACAGAATCCTAGAAAAAGGTCAACGAAAATGGGTCGCAGAAGGGCCCGGAAGGTCATACATTCCATCAGCATTTTGAGTCAATGTCTTCTTGATGTCGGCAATGAGTTCCTTGTCTTTTACCAGTAGTTCTTCAGCATCGAGGCATTTCTGCACAGCCTGATCAACAAGCTGTGCCATACCTCGCTGAGCCTCTGAGCAATTCATCGACATCCGATGCAAGCTAGGAAAAGCTTTTTGAGTGATAGAATCGGGATAATCTCGACTGGTAGCAAACAGCTTAATCGCAGAGCCTGCCGCCAATATTGACGACAGTGCCTCGATAAGCTCATGACGCTCATCCCGAGGCCATTCATCTATGCCATCGATGACTATCCATGTCGGTTGTCGTTTTTGGGTAAGCAGAAATCCAAGGAGCTGAGTGACCCTTTTCAAGACGTCTCCATTAGCGTTTTGGGTTTCTTCCAAGGCCACTTTCGTGTCACTCGAGATATCTTCAACATTAACCATTTGCCTGGCAACTGCTCGGAGAATAACTTCAGCTCTCAGTGACTCTGGGTCATCAAACCGCGAGAAGAAAAACGTCACAGTACGCTTATGCTGGGATCTCTCGGTCAAGAGGAAGTCGATTACGCTCGCCCTACAGTTATCAGCAACAAGATTGGATGAAAGCATTTATCCTTACGCTAGAATTGTCTTTCCTGATCCCACTGCACCAATCAGCGTGGCTCAACCAGAGCAATAGATAGCACTTACTTTTTCCAGAACACCAAAGTAAAGGAGACGTTTCCGCTGCAGCCCATCTCTTGAATTCATGTGTTCCAAAAATCCAACCTGCCGATTGTGGATATCGCTTCTGGCGAGCCTGCTTTAGCGGTTTCATATAGTCATGAGTAGACAAGGAATCTAGAAGCCTTTGTCTCCTCTCTCCTAATCTCTCTTAGCTGGGCATTGCGTTTTGGATCTCCCCACTCACTTTCCATTTCCACGTCTCTAGCAAGCTGTGACTGATGCATTTTGTCGAACCGGGTCTCCGTGCGAGACATAAAATGACCCATAGAGCGCCTGGACTTTTCTGCTTCACCATTCTCTAGCTTTTGAAGCTCTCTATTGCGATGATCGGACTCAGCCTGAGCGAGTCTGATCTCCTTTTCGACATTCTTGCTGTTGTCACGTAGCTCTTTCAGGTTAGGTTCGAAGGACTGCTGGAACGACTGCCAGAATGTTGGGTTGAGAGGGTTCAGTGGTGACGTCCAACCGCTCGAACCCTTGGGCATTTGAATAACGCGTTGGCAGCACCGGATGATAGATGCGTTGAAATTGCACAGGGCTTCCTGTAAGCGTGTAGATGTCGGGAACAGGGCTTGGTATTGGTCAAACCTGGGGCAGACGGTGCCAAGATTCATGAACAATTCAGCAAACGCCTCATAATAAGATGCAGCGTTTAGCATGATCTATTCGCAGTGACAGTTTAATATTAGCTAGTATCTCGGCATTGAAGGCAGTGCCAGTTTGGCTTAATGCTAGGATCTTCCATTGGAGACAAACCTGAATTGTAATCTTCACACTTCCCCAAACTAGCGCTGCAATAGTAGGATTTGATGACACATAGGTATCGATGACGCCAATGAAACTATGCACCGCCTGAAGGACAGGAAACAGACGGCTGGCGATACTCTTGCCTTTTTGGCTTTGTCGTCGAAGATCGAGCTCAGCTGTGAAAACCAAAACCGCGTCTGTATCAGGTACGGATTGAATACTATTGAACTCGGCAAGCTGCTCTGGTGTGAGAGCCGTGCGAAATGAATTTATTGCATTTTGCAAGATTTCATCTGCCAAGTTTGGGACGGCTACAGCCGATCTTGCGGCGCGCGCAATAAGTTCCATCGCGTCTTTGAAGTTGAGGAAGTTTTGTGAGGAGAAGACATTGACCACATGTCAGATGGGGGTTTCAGCCGCACGAGGCAGACAGGCAGGTCGCACAAAATAAGGATAAATCGGAGAAGATATTCCGAACTGAGACATGCATGCACACCAACCAATTAATTGTATTAGTTGAAACTAGATCTTGCCAGTGAACAATCACTTTGGAACCTAGCTGGCCCAATAAGCTCCGTTTCCCGATGTTCTCAGACCTTGAGAGCTACAGAGGAGATTGCTGAGCGATCATGAAAAGAGGAGGGGTTATAGGAATCGCTTCTGTAAAAGCCTGGTAAAAAGGCCGAGAATAATTGATATAAGGTTTTACATACGACTATTGTAGCACTCAAGGGGGTCTATGCGTGCTCTACTTCAGCTACCTTGGCTTTCATCTGCGCCTGGCTCTTGGCGATACTAGCAGCCGATTTTTCACCATCAAACAGTACAGCGATCTCCTCCAAAGTGGGGGGGCCCTTTGTCTCAACGAAGAAGAAGTAAATTACGAGACATTCGATAACCAAACTGAACAGCACGTTAGTAAAAATTCTGGATGGCATAGACAGAGTGACTTACACAGCGATGTAGACAAAGTAGAACTCGGGGTTGTCGAAGACTAAGCATGATGTTAGTTCGGGTGGGAGAATTAACCCCGAGCGAGAAACATCCGAGTATGTGGACCTGTCACATCTACCCCTCATAACTGACAACATCAGCGGTGCACGTATGAACCCAATCAGCAACGATGCCGAGGTTGTGAGTTTCTCGATTCAGAGTGCACTCATGATCGACCCAGAAGGAAACGGAGACCTCCAAACAAGTAAGATAATACTTTTGTTTGGGTGGGTCGATATACTGACGTATCACAGACATGCCCAGAAAGTGCAACGACCAATTGCGGGATCTCCAGCCATACCATCTGCAGCAAATATCATCTCATCACCCGAGACTCACCAGTCAAGTACATCGCCACAAAGTCTCCATGCCGCGACTCCCGCCGTCCAAACAGGCAATTGGCTTTCCTCATTCGCCCCAGAACCCATCATCGCGCGTTTATACGGAGACTGGTTCAACGAGATCCATCCTCTAGCTCCCATCCATCTTCGTCGCCAATTCCTCCGCCGTCTTCAACAAGGCGAGGGCGACACGGACGCAGACTTCTGTGGTCTTGTCATCAGTTTATGCGCAGCTACGAAAGCAACACTTCCAAGACGCGACTATGGACATATCACGGTAGACTATTGCGTTGAGTTTCTCGATACGCATGGACTACTCAAAAGTCAGCTTGGTCGAGATTGCTACAGCGTCGACAGATGCATTGCACTGTACCATATTGGTACGGCGATGAGCGCTACCAGCCCATCAGGACTGAGTAGTATGCGCGCCTATCAGGCTTTGAGTGACGCAGCTGCGGGGACGAGGTACCTCGTTTATTACCGGTTGCATGACTATGATGAGGCTCAACAACAGCTTTTGAGGAGGTTAATGTGGTTACTATTCGCTAGCGCATGGTATGCTAACCCTCTCTCAAACTATGGGTTAGCGCTAACTTCATTTCAGTAGCGCGGACATCTTTGGACGGCTCCCAATCAGTCTTCTCAGTCCCGAGCGTATGGACACATTCCCGAAGTCATTAGCACTGTCGGATAATCAGATGGAGCCGTCAGCTTTTGAATCGGCTTGGCATGGAAATGACACGAGTTATATTCCCGGCCTTAACTCACTAAGCGATTTATTCCTCATATGGCAAAACATGCAGCATACGCCGAAAGAGACTGATCCCCAAGCCACAATCACGAAATACTTGATAAAAGTCCAAAAAGTTCTAGATGATCTTCCACCCCAATTGCGATGGCGCGGCGGTCTATCCCGCCCTGCTACTGTCACAGAAGGGCATGATAGTCAAATAGCCAACCTCTTCGTAACCAGCCTCAACATCCGATCCAATATTCTACAAAAGTTTGGACCAACAGAGGATACCCCGAAGCAACATGGAAAGATCATCGATGATTTGTTGGAAATCCTATATCATCTACCCAGTACCGTCTTCCACGCAAATGGCAGCAGTCTTGTTCCGAAAATCCGGGACATCGGAGCTGCATACCTAGAACATGGTGGGGTTGGAGATGATGCGAAAATTAATATCGCGCGGTTGCTTTGGAAATTGGAGGATCTGGATTGTAGGCAAGGAAGTGGAGTGCTTGGTGCGCCTGGCTCTATGTAATTGCAACACACCTGAATAGGAGAAGGTCCGAAGCAAATCTGGAGTACGTACCTTGCGATGTAACCCTGCGAGTCACGATTGGCAGTTCGTATTTCTCCGTGCTATCGTAGAAAGTGCGGAGTAAATCCGAGGATCCCTGCACATAAGCGTACTGGAAGCCGAACTCATGATCTGACCCACCAACCTTCTACTCCGCTAACCCTGCACCCCATCAATATCGCAAAGCTATTTCAACCATCTTGATCTCTGGAAACAAACCAGTCTCATCATCCTTCTTGGACACTATCATCAAAACGACTGCAACTCATTTCCCAAAACACCCTCACCTGCGACGCTCTGACAAGAGCTCAGTGCATCTCATCGTCAAAAATGAACCATTCCTCATGCTCCCAGGCGAGCTCCACAATTCATCACTCAGCTCAGCCAAATTCATGAGTGAGGTTTGGCCAAAAATGAAAGCCGACCACATCGACACTCTACTTGGTTCAGTAGCATGGGAAATGATCGAGCCTGCTGAAGGTCAATTCGACTTTGCTGAGCTTGACGCTGTTCTCGCTGGTGCAAGAGAGCATGACATGAAGCTTGTTCTCCTCTGGTTCGGAACGTACAAGAATGGTCTTTCTACATATACACCAGGTTGGGTCAGGAAAGACCCTAAGAGATTTCCCAGAGTTCAAGTTCTCGAGGCTGGAGGTGTAAAGAGGACTCTTGAGATGATTACTCCGCTTTGCGATGCCGCATGTGAAGCTGACTCACGAGCATTTGCTGCTTTGTTGAGACACTTGGCGGAGGTTGACGCGGAGCATCAAACCGTTCTAATGGTACAAGTTCAAAACGAGACGGGAGTTCTTGGTGACTCTCGTGATTGTTCAAACAGCGCGAACAAAGCATTCGCTGAACCCATTCCTGAAAACCTTGTCCAGCATCTCCGCCAAACCGATACCCACTCGCGATTCAAGAAGCGTGTTCCCAACGTCCCTTCGTCGGGCTCTCATACCTGGCAGTCTCTCTTCGGAGCAGGACAAGCGGCCGATGAGGCTTTCATGGCCCATCTCATTTCCTCATACGTAGGACGTGTTGCAGCAGCTGGAAAGAAAGAATATACCATTCCCTTGTACACGAACACATGGCTCAACATCGAAGGACCATCGGATATCGACTTCGGCGGAGATGGCCCTGCTGTGGTCGGTGGGGGTGATCAGCCTGGTATCTACCCATCTGGCGGCCCGTGTCCCCACGTCTTGGACATCTGGCGTTTCAACACACCATCTCTCGACCTGATAGCACCGGATATGTATTTCCATGACTACGAGATTGTGTGCAAGAACTATACCGAGCAGGGAAATACTCTCTTCATTCCCGAGCAGCGACGCGATGAGTACGGAGCTAGACGTATCTGGCTCTCCTACGCTACCCACGGTGCTCTCGGCGCCAGTCCCTTCGGTATTGACACAGGCTCCGATATCATCGGTCGAGAATTCAAGCTTCTCAACCAAACCAAACAATTCCTTCCCAACGCCGCACCTGAAGACCGCTTCGGGTTCTTCTTCGACGAAGAACCAAGCGAGAAAAAGCCAGAGCAATGGACCCGTGTCTTCGGTGACATCAAAGTCATCGTAGAGCGTTGTTTCGTCTTCGGCAAGCCTGGCCCTGGGGTGGCATGGTCATTCATCTGGGCAACTCCAAGTTCCTACTTGTAGGTCGCGGCTTCCATGCGCGCTTCAAGGCGGCGAGTAAGGATGCTACATTTGGCGGTATTCTACGCGGCGAGGAGAAGGAGGTTGATGAGAATGGGGAGTTGAAGACTTTGAGGATACTGAATGGTGATGAGACGAGGCATGGGGAGTTTATGATGATGCCTAATGATGATCCTGATTATGGGGGCTTTCCTATTGCTGTTACGCCTGGGGCGGGAACTTGTATTGCTGAAGTGGAAGCTTATTGTATTATTGAAGATGAATACGATCGATGATTGTACACTAAGAACCATTTCTTTATACATAGACCCAGACTTTAATTACAATACGACCAGGCAGAAATCTTGCATTCAACGACAAAGTTCGTTAAGGACTATGCACAGAACGCTGACTGTTATATGTCTAGTATATACGATCATGATAAATGTCCTAGCTATATGTAGCACCGCTGAGACGTAAAAGAGATTTAATAGCCCAGTCCGTAGCATAAGAAAGTGGCGTATTACCCCTTTGACATGTCGAGTTAATATCAACTTTGCCTGTGTCGAGTAGCAGGCTTACCACAGCCTCAGCACACCCCTGGGCCGCAAATGATAATGGCGTTCGACCTATATATAGCGCATCGGAGGCCCTCGCGTCGGGATCAACCCTATCAGTACGAAGTAGAATATTGACGATTGCTACTCTTTGTGTCGAAGCTGCGTACATCAATGGGGTCCATCCAGCAGCTGCGCGACCAGTAGCCTTTGAGTCGGGATCAACCCCGCATGTGTCCAGTAGAAACTCAACAATTGATTCATCACCTCCCTCAGCAGCATATGATAATGGTGTTCGACCCTCGTCATACTCATTACTGCACTTTGAGTCGGGGTCGACTTTCGCACTAGCCAGCAAGAGCTTCGCAATCTCTATGTGGCCTAATTGTGCAGCGTACGAGAAAGGGGTTCTGCCGTCCCTATCCACCTGGTCCGGATCGACGTCTCTCTGGAGGAGTAGCATCACAACGCCCATATGCCCTCCTATGGTTGCATGATGTAGCGGATATCCGCCATACCGATACGTGTCTCTGAGTTCCGGATTAGCGCCCCTGTCCAAGAGTAGTCTGGCAATTCCCTCATGCCCTAAGCTAGCCGCGTGGATTAGAGGAGACCGCCCCATATTGTCTTTCGTGTCAATCACAACGCCTTCAGTACTAACAAGCAACCTGACGACCTCCTCGTGCCCATTTTGAGCAGCAAAAGCAAGCGCCGTTTTCCTGTTGCCTTCTTTTTGTTTGGGATTCGAATTGGCACCATTGTGAAGTAAAAATGAAACCATGCTGGTATCACCATTCCCCGCAGCAACTGAAAGTACTGTTTGGCCCTGACTATCCTCCATCTCCAAGTCCGCACCTCTCTCAAGTAACCGAGCTACGATAGATTTATCCCTCGCTGTTACTGCCCAGTGAAGGGCTGTTTTTCCATATGTGTCCCACTTGTTGATTCTAATGTCAGAACGTTCCGAGATTAGTTCGAAAATGGCCTTGTGTCCATTCATGACGGCCAGCATAAGTGGTGTTTCGCCGTCTGCTGATGGGGAGTCTGGATCCACGTCGTCCCTTGCGAGCAACAGCCTTACGATCGTCTCTTGCTTATACTCAGCTGCATATGATAGGGGGGTTCGATGGCCACTGTCCATTTGATCTGGAGCAAAGCCTCTATCAAGCAGACAGCGCGCAAGTGACGACAAACCGAAGTACGCCGCAAGGTGCATGCCTGAAGTCGTCACAGCTAGGCGGAGGCTATCGCCATCAAGACGAGGCATTATCGCATAGCCGGAGGCGTTAACATGGGAATCGGACATAAGGAAATAAAGGAGTAACTCATTGACCTGTGCTGTAGCTGACTGGGCATGATTTCCCCAGTGATGGGCCGAGTAAAAGTAAAATGGATGTTCCTCGAGGTTTACCTCGAGATCAGTCGGACAATAACTGTAGCCATCAGAGTATTCTTTGGCGTATACCTTGCGATCAGCCTTGCCAAAAATGTCGAATGAGAGGTAAGTGACGCAGGTCATGGTCAACTCAGTTTCCGGATCTTTGAACCATCGTTCTCGCTCTCGCTCAAAATATTCTTGCGTTGTGTAATGGACAAGACGCACTACAGTGCTCTCCTTATCAAGAACAACAAGACCGGCGCACAAAGACAAAATGATTTCTGGATGGGGAATAAAATTCGGATCCAACTCTTTCGTGTTCTTGCGTACGGCAAGAGCGTGCTGGAGCTCCCGTAAAAAGAGTGGTCTTTTGGAATGTACAATCCAAGTCAATATCTTCAAAGCCAGCGCCTTTCGATTGGGCTCTTGGTCTTGGATTCGATTCATCGCTTGATAATAATGATCATCTAAGCCCTGTTCTCCCCTGGTGAGAGTTTCCAAGGTTTCCAACAAATCGCCCTTGGTTGGCTGAGACAGAACAGTACCAGCCTGGAGCGAAGCAAGCAAGAACCTAGGTCGCAGATTAGTATAGAGCTGGCGGAAATGTAGATGATAAATGACATACATTCCATCCGCGATAGCGACGATCTTATCTTTAATTTCAGCTTTCAATGGATTGTCAATGATCAATGACTCTTGCAAAGAGATCTGCGTATCCAGATACATGCGGACATCATCGTCAGTTGCAGTGATGTCCAATGTGAGGCTACCACCAAAGACGTTAGATACCTCTTTGTTCGGCCTTGATGTGGCGAAGATATTAACAGTCATATGCTTTTGAAGGCGGTATATCTCCCGAAGAACCGTCACTCGAGTGTTATCAGTCGCATTGCATTCATCCAGAGCATCAATGACGATGTAAACCTTAGAAAATTCCCCTGCTACCAAGGAGAGAGCTTCCGAAATCTGTTTAAGGGTCGGCTGTGTTCGAAACCTTTCGTGCCCCTTATATAGATCTTGGACGCTCGTGGGAAGAGGGGATTGTGTCTGAGCAAGTTGTCTCAGGAGACTAGAAAGTATATCGGTGGCCCTTTGCTGGGTATGTCGCTGGTAATTGCAGTAGATATACGCAATGCCAACATCTGGCATTTGCCGGAATTCCGTGAGGAGATGATTCACTACCATTGAAGTGATGATAGTTTTTCCAGTTCCTGGGTTCCCACAACATAGCATACTTTGCGCGTCATTGTTGAGCCATGTTTGAAAGGCTTGAGACTCCAGGAACCATTGGCCCGTCCCGGGTTCTGCTTTTGTGAAGATGTCTTTGTGAGAAATAGCATAGTCATGACTAGTCAGCCACTCCAGAATGACCCGATCATGCCTCGTGTGGATGATTCTGGAAATTGGTTTAAGTTCTTCATTTACATTGTTGACCGATCCTTCCAAATCTGCCGATAGAATTAGTGTTTATCTGTCTATCATGGCATGCTTCCAACTAACTTGAGAGGATATCAGCTATCTTCCTTTCGTTCTCAATGCTGCTTGGAACAATCCGTAGAAGAAGGTCTTTCGCGTAGGCCGCTGCCACCATTGCTGCGTAGCCTTGCCACTGATCGTTCTTGTGTGTATCTGAGTAATCACAGATGCCTCGAATTATAAGACACGGGAAATGATTCATCAGCCCAGCGGCCTCCATCTCAAAGCAAAGCACACCGTGCTCTCGTGCAAGCCTATCGCGGATATTTGCATCTTTCATGAGCTTATCCGCCGATGCAATGGCACCATAGTGGATTGTCGGGTCATCGTCTTCGTCAGTTCGCTCAGGTCGAGCGACCAAGACGCTTTCACCATCTCCACAGTTCTCTGGGCAGCTGCCGTTTTGATGGATGATATGACTCTGGTACAGTCTGTCGTTCTCGTGGCCCGGCAGCTTATACTTCTTTCGTAGGCGTGGCTTCTTAGCCAGTGCTTGCTCAATAGCATCTTGTATATCGTGACCGTCTATCTCATGGCGGGCTCTCAATCCAGCGATTGCCGTTCGCAAGATACTGGGCGCTTGGTTCATAAATCTAGTCATTTCCAAAGGCTGATTTTGGATTGCCTTGCCAAAGTCATATTGTAACACACCGCTCTTCCCTCCGCAAGTAGCACCAACAACGATATCTCCGAGGCGAATATCGTGTTTGTTGCTGGGTGCGCCGCCTCCGATACCGACCATAAGGCCAATCCTAACATTGGGAAAAGTATGCAAAAGGTCCCTCGCAACGCATGCTGCTGACGAAGTCCCATATTCACCATCCGGTAAAACTGCAATGACAACCATGTGTCCCCCAATCTTTCCGAGTTTGTAGCTGTTATTATCGTGGGGAGAACGAAATGCGGGCAGCTCATGGTTGCTCTCGTCGAGGAATGCTTCAGCAGCTACACGTTCAGTGCTCACCGCACAGATCCAAGCAACCGTATAATCGTGCGGATTTGACATTCTGGGACGAGGGACACAAGACGTTAAGAGAATGCAGGATATCAAGGTTAGCTGAGAGTGTCAAATATCAATAGTCAGGCTGAGAGATTATGTAGACACACTGCCGCGCTGCTGCAGTTGTGCCTGACTTGTCGGGCAGCTATGCAGCGTGTTTTGACCTCTCGGCAGGCCAGTCCACTATCACGCCACTGCTTACTGTTCTTCTACCCTTCCTCTACAAAAAAGGCTCCCTGAAGCAGAAAAGAAGTAAAGAAAGTGTCCAACATCACCACAAGGGCAGCATACGATGAGCTAGCCCAAGAATTGTTTTCTAGATTATACAGCAAATTAAACAAATCACTCCATCTATAATAAAAACGCTTGCGCAAGGGTATCTATCAAAAGGTCCACACTACCACTACCTTCAAGGCTCTACTCCCAATCATTAGACGCCGAAATGCTTCCCAGTACAATTTTAGGAACAGGATCATGGCAATGCCTCGTATCGACAATATCACTAAGATGGTTAGCTATATTATTTTTATCGCTTTGACCATGCTGACGTACTATGTCTTAGACCCCACTTGTTTTGTGCAGTCATCATCCAGGGAGCGCAGATGCCTTGTGCCGTTTTCATCGCGCCCAAATTGAACGAATTGCAACATCAGGGTACTGGTGGGTTGCCCAGTTTCGATCAGGTGATCGATGGCCCTGTAGATTGCCTGTTCGACATTGGTACGTGGCTCCCATGCCCCATCAGTGTAGATATAGATGCTGGTAGGCTTGACCTTCTTGCCATCGATAAGGACCTTGTCGAGGATATGGTTGAGACAGGCGCCCATGTCGCATTTTCCCTCAACTGTCTTCATTTTACCGATCTCTTTCTCGATCTGCGTACTCGTCGTGCATATGCGTGGCTTTCTTGCGGCTTCGGACGCAGCATAAACTTCCATTCCGTTATCGTCGGCTGTTTTGGCCACGTAACTGACCACTCTGGCCCCCTTCTTGACCTGTTCCATGTGCGGTTGCATAGAGCTGTAATCATCTATCACCATGACCTGTGAGTGGTCAGTATCATCGGTGAGGAAATATCGAGATTGAAAAGCCGTCACTACTGACCTGATCTCGTCCATTATAGGCCTTAATCTTACGACGCGCGTCTTCCATCCCCGGCAGATCCATGATGACTGTTGACTTGTCCGGTCGAGGTGATAGTGGCGAAAGCACAGAACGTCTTCGACTAGGCGTCTCCATCAGGGCATATACGCTTTCGATAGTTACTATGCCTGTTGACCGTATGGGCTGTTCGGCTACCTGTGAAGGTGGTTGTGTTTGAGGAAAGGGAGGTGTAGGTGGCTCGTCAAAAGCGGCATCTGGATCAGTGTACAATGAATCCTTGGCAAAGAAGTCGCTCCGCCCTGCGGGAACGGTTCGTCGCCTTGTTACATGTTGGAGTTCGTCTCCATGGTGAGATGGCGATTGGGGGAGGACTGATATATCATTTGTTTGCTCCCTGGTCAACCCATGACTTGGCGGGGGACAATCACCTCGGTCTGTTGGGCCATCCTGGATGCCTTTCAGCCACTTGTCTGCTCGTGTCTTGATCTGCATAGCGGTCAATCGTTCTGTTTGATCGACGAGCATGAAATCCAAAATCAAACTGCTCATATACTCGGACACGTTGTCTCTTATCCGTCTGTTATCCAGAGCAAAGCGATGGAAGTTGTCGACGGCTTTCAACCGCCCTTCCGTGTTGTGAAAGCATGCATCTATACCTCGTTCCTTAAAGTGCGGTTGTGATGCAATTTCCGCTTGCCTTCTCAGTCGATACTTCTCTCGACCTCCCTCATCACAGATTGACCAGATGAGCGCGTCACTAAAGACAGCGCCGATGGCCCAAATATCTGCGACAGGTGAAACATTGGTCTGGACAGCGAGCTGTACTGAATAGTTCGCAAAGCTCTCTGGAGCAACTGTGCATTATCAAGGTTAGATTCCAGTTATCGTGAAAGTGATACAAGATGATACTTGCTATACATTCTATTCCCTCTGTTCACTGTGGCAATTTTACCACATGACACTCGTCCGAATTCGGTCAGCCCAAAGTCTGTAAGTTTGAACTTGACGTCGAAACGGGAATCACTGCCACCTTGTGGGAAGACCAAGATGTTGGCGGGCTGGATATCCTGATGAATCCTGTGTCTGTTAGCATCCATATCCATTCGCATGGTTATGTACATACCCTGCAAGAAACCAATTAGAAGGCCCATCAGGTTTATGAAGTCCGTGCAGCACATGAAGGCCATCAAGTAGCTTTATTAGTCGACTCCATAGCAGTATAATGTCCTCACGCGTGACAGGTGGATCGGTCTTCTGGAGGAAGTCCTGGAGAGAACCGCCTGCCGCATATTCAAGGACGATGATGCATTTGTGCTTCCCTTCAAATGAAAAGGATCCAAAGTGTTTTGTGATATAATGATTATGCCTGGCACGAAGCTTCAGATGAACATTTGTCTCGTCGTTGAAAAGCTTCTCGGCGTCAGACCCTTCGAAGATCTTGAATACAACAGGCTGACCCTTTTCTTCAAGTCAGCAGTCAAGTTCCAAATGTTGATCCTGGTATAACGTGCCTCTGATGTGACCTTGTTGGCCTCTGGATGTACTTTTACCTCCCAAAGGGTGGCTGTGTCCTGCCCGTCAAAGTGCTTTGTGAGAGGCTTGACATAGTTCACAGGGAGGATGGTTTGAGGTGGCAAGACCCGGTTGAAGATTTTATCACCCGTGAGTATCAATGGAATGAACATCCACTGGGTCGCCAAGAAGCTATCGGTCCACCGACAAGCACGTGGGAATGATGAATTGTAAAAAGGTAGCTTGACGTCGTCGAGATATCCGCGGTGTTTGCAGAACCAGGTGATTTCTTGGGGCTGGCCAATGTACACTAGAATAGAGAAGACATGAGAGAAGGAACTGACGATCATTTCACTGTTGGACTGTTCACAGCCCAGTATGGTGTCAACCCTGTCGCGGGACCAATAATTGGTCAACGCTGACGGTGGGACAAAGTCGACTTCATCGCCTTCTCCATTGACACCTTTCACAAGGTTTTCCCTAACATGTTGACGGAAATCCTCCAATGGTTGCGAAGTGATGATTGGGGTGTACGGATCATACATCGCAGATAAAGGGGGGTGCTGCGCCTTTCAACAATGGTACATGTGGCTGGGGCCTGGTACGGAGATATCAGGACTTGTGGGAAGTAAAGTAAGTCAATAACAATGTACTCTGCCGGTATTAGAGGCTGAGGTTTGTGTTTCGCTCCAAAGACTTGAAAGGGTTGTCTAGAGGTATTATATAAACGATGGAAGTAATATACAGGGCAGAAAGGATTGTCCTTTGGCCGTCGACTACGGTAATTGTCCCCAGATAGGCACTTTCAATCTTCGCTGCGCCTCAGTTTAACCTTCTTGCCAAGAGAAACAACAGGGCTGAGGCTTTATGACTTTTGTGGCTAAGTCCTAGATAGCTACCAACGGATGGTCAGTTATTAAGTTCGACGGGCAAAGGGACCAACCAGCAGCTAAGGTTACCAGTCTACCGCCTTATCAGGTACTTTCCAGTTCATAAGGCGTTAAATCATCACACAGCAGAAGGAGCAGAAGGCAGATCATGTGGGGGGAAGAGGCAGTGTTGACAGGCCCTGCAAAATGCCTTGGACGCCTTACGGGGCCCTCAAGAAAGGCTCTCTGGAAAAATTGGGGAAAGAGTCCTACACTTCCCAATAAAGTGGATTAAGCTCAATCATTCAATTTCATCAAGTGCATTTATGACCTTCAGATGAAATGGACGTTTGGAGGGGATTTATCTGCATCCTTTAATAGATAGATTATAAACTGGTATACCATAGTAAAATAGACCTCTCTCAATCCTTTGACACAGTTTTTTCCTCGTCCTCGCTCGGTCGGCTGGACCTCTTGACCAGAAACTTAAACACAAAAACCCACAGTAGGAAGGTAAAGGCCATGAGAGGAAAACAGATCATGGCAAATACCTTGAAAGCCCCCGAGTGCAAGGTCACAGCGTTATTGACATCATTGGCGTCTTCATCCACTGCAACAAGCCCACTCTGGAAAAATGCCTGCAAGGGATACACGTGTCAGCACAGCCTGCCTGAAAGATACAACCAAACAAGGAAGAGACTGACGGCGACAAATGTTCCAGGCAGAAATGCAAGTGTGACACATGTTATGACGTGCATGGATATTGTTTCCTTCTCCGTCTTATCGGCAATCCGCTCCATCTTTTGAGACTGAGCTTGGGAGTTGTCAGTGAAGATGAGACTGACTTGTACACTGCGGTATTGCAGTATACCGTCGAACTGCAGGGAGTAATTATCAGCAGGACTTTTTTCGAAAAGAGTAAATAAAGGCCTTACCAATGCTTTCCCTTCGCGCAACCATGACAAAAGAGATTCGATTTGAGTTAACCGAATCTCGAGGTTCTTGTCAATCCGATGTATCTTTCTGAAGAACGATGCCAGGTGCCCCTTGCAGGATGTTCTGATGTCCTGGGGAAAGTCGTCCCGACTTGCCAAGTCCTGATAGTGCTCGGCGATATCACGAAGTGTCTGGCGATTTAGCTTTATCACAAGACAGAAGCTCTCGAGTTGCTCTCCCATCCAGTACAGGTTCTGTACATCCTTGAACGAGAATGCCATCAAAGTCTCGAGCTGCTTGCCTGCATCATTGCTCTCGACTGTCTCTGGTTGCCCCGCTTTCTCTGGCGCCACAGGTTGCACAGGTGTGCAGGACTCTTGCTTGGCACCAGTAAAGAGCGACCAACACGACTTGAGGAGACCGTTCTGGGGGCCTTGGTTAATTCTGCCTGAGACAAGACCCACTGGAGCTGAACTCGTATCCTTCATGGTTCCCGTCAATACTCGCTTGAGATTGGCCGGTAAATCAGGTTTTTCATCGAAGCGAGCTGTCTTTGCCTTTTCCAACACCGTCCGCATTTGTTCCTCGAAGCTGTTTATGCAATCTCGCCAGGACTCGTCACACCACTCTAAATGGATAAGGTGGATGAGCATGTTCGCCGCGAAGGAATCTGATAGGCCATCTTCTGAGCACGGGATGGGGATCTTTTCATCCTCTAGAGCTTCCTTGACGCGACCCAACATTACCTTGTTTGTTTTTATGTTTACCCATAGCGATCGGCCGTTCACAAAGTCGTATTTATGATGGACAGCCATTTGACGAATGTTCCAGTTGACCTCATTCGAGGAGTTGATGGAGCGCTCGACGGCGCGTAACAAATATTGCGTAGTATGGTCACACCCTGAACGACCCAGCTCTGGGATTTCAACTCTTTTAGACTTGGGTGTGTCCAAAGTGTCGTCGCCGGAGAAGCCTGTCATGTGATAGTCTAGTGGCTGGTCCGTGTATCCAAATGATGTGGCGAAGTCTAGGAAGCTTGCTGGTATCTGATAAAAAGACGACAGAGTAGCAAAGCTTTCGTGCGAACAGTTGAGTTCGGAACGTGAATGAGCTGATTGAAGGAAGCTACAAATAATCAGCATCGGAGACTTTGCTGGGACCCTGTAGGCGGAAATACATGAGACAGAAATGAGGATCCTTGCGGTTTTTCAGTAGATGCTTTTGTAGATCGGCGGGCGATCGGACAACTTCTTGTTTGAAGGCTGACAAGGTGAAAGTGTCGTCCATCTGGGGGATTGGTAAATATCCATCTTCATCTAGAGAGTTCGGTTCAATAATGTAAATTTCTTCATTGCTACCGAGAAAGAGATCATTCTTTTTAGCGGCGATAGAAGATTGGTACTCCTGTAGGGTGCTGTTGCGCTGGCATGACCATTCAAGGTTGGAGGGGTAGCGTAGTGGTTCCCGACAGCTCTTCTTGAGCATATCATAGTTGTTCATCATAGCTGTGGCAATATATATGTAAGAGACGAGCTTGAATCAATTGATAGAATATTATATTGCTGCCTCGTCAAGATGTTTATATATACTTCAAAATAATAGTAGCAAATAAACAACAAGGCTGGTATAGCAACTGTCTGTAGTAGGTAAGCTATGCGAGTTCACTACAATTGTTGTTGTTTCAGCAGGCCCAGTTAGCCTTCGCATTCCAGCGCACCCACAGCGCACTCATAGCGCACTCACAGCGCACCAACCAGTAGTTGAGCCACTATCACTTCGTAGGATTGGGTGCACGAAGCCGTCCAATCTCGCGTCGGTCATCCTTTAAAAAACAATTAGCTGTCGATCGCGTATCAAAACATCAACGTGAAACGAACAGCGGTCAACTCTGCGCCATTAGGCAATGTAAAAACGTACTGCCCATTCTTGGACTAGATTCGAACGTTAATTTTAATGTTAATGTTAATGTTACTTGTTCATGCGGTGGATGTACCTCAACTAGGATTGTACCATCGTTGTACTTGTTACGCAGCCAATTCTGGAGGACAGTGCCTTTGAGGAGGTAGTCAGGATACGAACACTCGGTCATGATTGATAAGTGAGAAGGGAGAGGTCGGGCGCAAGGCAGATTCTTGATAGACTGCTGCTAGGCTGACTCCGGGCAACATGTCGGGTTTATATGGACGGGGAACAACTTCCGGGAGCCTCGAATCCAGAAAATGCCCCGCAGAGCCTCAAGATGTGTTGATACATCCGGTGAGACACTCCGCGACAGCGCACAGCTGACCTGCCCACTGACATAACAAGACATTATTATTTCAGACATTCTTATGCTCACAACAGAGGACCAGGCTGTGGATAAATACAATTGTTGTGGTCATGTGGCACAATGTGGCTTCTCGGTCAACGAGATGTGCGAAAATGTGATAGGCTATGTGGTGCTGACTGCAGCGGCTGAAAGGACTCATGTTTCAACCAAGCCAGCTGCATAGCCGAGCACTGTAGTTTGAAATCAATGAGGCTCTGTTGTAACCAAACAATTTTGTTATTCGGGTTTGTCAGTAAAGCTTACATTAAAACTACTAGCACTCATTTTAATTCCTTGCAAGGGGTTAAAATTGCAGGAATAACGTTCATGGTATTATGGTGTATATCTGATGTACTAACCTTATAAAGGAACTGTGGTTCAAGGGCGGCTCCCTTGCGAAGTGGCCATTCTCAATCAGAGTCCGTAGACTATGACCGGGCAACCAACGCTGTATTCTTATGGATTGACGCAGGAACGTGTAACGTCATTCCCGCATTCGACGGATTCCTTAAGTCTTTTGAGACATAGAACTCAAGATCCATGTCATCTCTGTGGGAGGCTTTGCGCGGTTTGCAGAGCCCGCACTGGATGTAGCTAATAGAATGATCTGGCCTATCCGCATCTCAACCCTGATTCAGTGCTTGGGAGATGTAACGAATCAGGCTGTGGAACCTGGCCTCAGGCACTGATAGGAGCTAACCATCTTTTTACTTCCTTTGGTATTCTAGAACTATAGGGAACGAAGTTTAAACCGACGAAGCCCCTAGTAGTAATCGTGATAGTGAAGACTAAAATTTCAAAATAACACATTATGTAAACAATACGAAATAAAATTATAGGTTTTGAAGTCTATGTAGTAATTTTAACTCTGTAAAATTCAGATTGTAGATTGCATTAACCTTTTCATGCGCTCAGCTACACCGTAGGGATAATACAGCAGAATTCAGAGCACAGGAATTAAAACACTAATAAGATTTAGAAAAAACTGCAATAACCCGTAACTAGTCGAGGAGTTACATTGATTTACCCATCTTGCTTCCCAATATCTATACCGAATCGCCTGTCACGCTGATCTACCTCGATCATCCTCTCATCGAGATTTCTCTCTTGATTTGCGCTTCCGCTGTCGCAAGTCTCCGAATTGTCATCGGGTACTTCTTTTTGCCACCAGCCCAAACTGAACACCCATCCTTCGAGTGCTTGTGATAATTGCGAATCGCTAAGATATTCCCCACCCGAGGGTATCACCCGCGCGTTGGGATCGCAAAGGTTAGAGCCAGCTAATAAAGCCATGCTACTTCCAATGCTGCATGGGTCTCTTGGCAGAGTCCCACGAATTCTTACTAGCGCAAATCCAATAAAGCTAAGCCCAGTCATTGTAGCGAGAAGTATTTGGAGAATAAGTTTCGAAGTGGGGTCGACAATGAGGTGTGTTACCGTGGCAGAGTATGATCCAGTTATTAGGGTCTGAGGATCTGTCGAGCTGCTTTCCGAAGCACTTAGTATATCACTAGAGCTTTCGTTACTAGCTCTGAAATTGCGATTGATGACATGCCTCATGAGCTCACAATAATCCGCCGTTACAACCTTAATCAGGTTCTTAACGTTGCCAGGCCCTAGAAGATCCTCTCTTCGATATCCTCCTGGGCGACGAATCAGTTGATTGAAGAAGGTATCGTATTGGTATTGTCCATCATCTTTCTCGAGGTAAGGAAGGTTTGAGGCGACAAAGCTCTTGAGATTATATCCCAACGTTTGCGGTCCTTCCGTACCGTTGCGGATAGCGCGTGGTTCCCCAAGTCGCTGTAAGGTACTGATCTGTCCGAGAGAGGGGTCTTCGTCATACCCAATTCTGACAGGAATTCTGTTTATGCCTTGAGTGCAAACAAGACCAGTGAGGTTCCTTCCCATGGCCCAAGTGTTATTGACGGTGCCGAAAAATATTCCAAGGGATGGGCAATCTATATTGGTCTGACCAGCTGCAGAGTTGAAAAGGCTTACGTATTCGCCTACCCAGATTGGGTCAGAGGTTTTGTAGGTGGCATGGACTCTTAAATCAGCAGAGCCTTGATGGGAGGCAACTGAACATCTTTGGTCAATACTTGGAGGGTCAAGTGCTACCATGGTCCCGTTCTCTGGCGCATACTGGCTCATTTTACCCTTCTCTACATAGTGCATCCAGAGAGGAGTAGAAATCGCGGACTGTGGTAGCAAAGAACAGTTCAGAACAGGCTGAAGAGCTATAACGTCAAAAGAATATGCGCCGTCTGGATATCTAGTGTTTCCGAGATCGGTGCCAAAAGAGATTCCAGGAACAACAAGATCTTCCCAAATCGTAGGTGGTGTAACAGCCCCGCGATTGCGGATCAGATTTAGTTCAAGAGTCGCGCCAGAGTCTTGAGAGTAATCGTTAAACCAACCCAAATTCCAATTGGTGACATAGGCGGTTGATGGCTGGTTGTTTACTTGAGTCTCGGTAGCAATCCACAAACCAGACGTAACGATTGTGAGAAACGCAGCGATGAGCGTAGCAACATTAGATGAGGTAACGCCAAGCTGTCCATTGCCAACGGACTTCCAAAGAATAAGAAGAGGATTCATAGATAAAGGATGGAACAGAATGCTTCTCTTGGCTGGTGAACTCCCAGATCTTAGGTTAGAGTATGGGGCGAAGATGATGATAATGAAATCAAGGTTATTTATCATGGTAGCCACGATAAAAACCACCAAGGTTGAGACAAGACGGATTGTATAGGATAAGAAGGCAGAGTCTTTGGTCCCGACTACCAACAGGTGATTCTCCTTTCTCAAAATCCGATGCAGCACCTCCAACACAGCGATGCAAATGATAGGTGCCGTAAATGTTGCTAGTATAACAGGGAGACGAACTGCTAGAGGTGCCCATGGCCGACTCTCCTTACGTGTCGTAGTCTTAAATTGTTGTTGATCGGAATTCCGGCGCGTGATTACCGCAGTTATTCGAGACCGTCCATCTTGGTTTGCCGGGGCAGAAAACTTGAAACCTCGCAGCCTCTCTGTAAGGCTGGCGCTAGGGAGGCTTCCAGTGTCTTTCATGATACTCTGTACTGGAGGGCTGTTGGCCAGGATGGCTGCATTACCAGCTATGGAGCCTGACATGGCAGGTATCCAATGAAAGGGCTTATTCAGCCATAGTAGCATTAAACATATAATGGCGAGGAGGCAGAACATTGCTACCATTGCCCAGACAGCCAATGGCCTCATATGTAGTCGATTGTCAATTTGAAGCCCTTTCGCAGTGCCTGTTTGGCGTTTGGAAACCAGAATGGACTGTCGAGTCATGTTTTTTGCTACAGCGTCAACAACAGATATACTGGCATTCAAAAGCGTTGACGACTTGTAGAACACACCCAGATCTCTCGGATATCCCAGTTTTGCATACATTAATTGGAACAACACTGCCTCGGCTCCTGGCGTGGAACCTGATCCACTTCCACTGTGAGCTCTGATGGTGGGAACTCTGTCGCTGGTGACTAGGACATCTGCCGGACTATCCATGTTGGTCCACAGCATTTCTGCAAATGCATGATGAGATAGATTTGTCAGCGTTCGGACTTTTCTTGGAGCCTGCGGAAACGAAACCGATTTGGCTCGGACATCAAACGTGGCATCCTGTGTCTCAATGGCGTATTTAATCTGACAAATAATGGAGTTTGACTTTGTCATTTTCATGCTCTCGATAAGGTCGGATGGTCCGTCATGGTATACATTAAATCTGGCTGCAGAGATGGCATAACGTATGTCGAAAGGCTCATTGTCAGCAAGCCATGATGTTGTATTTCCATTAGGTGTCGAGGTGAAGTGGGTCTCGTTCAGGCCAGAACAATTAAGACGATGTACTGTGTAAACCTGGGGCTCCTGAACACATGTTCTATGAGTGGTGCCTTTAGGAAGTGGTGGGTCCCCGTATTTGGAACTTGCACATATGTCCACCATTCCTGCGCTAGCATTGCATGACTTTGACGTGAATCTGAAGTTTTTAGCGGCGAGTGAATCCTCCTATGGGCTGAAACCTGATGCCGTGAGGTTTGTGATTTCAAGCCTTGCTTCTTCGCAGATGATCTTCGGAACGAAGACTTCCACTGGTGCCTCCAACACTGTCACATCGTAGTCGCTTGGATTGAGAACAAATCGCTGAGAAGCTGCATCGTTCATTGGCTTCCACTCGCGTTCAGTACTAGTGACATTATTCAGGCGGCCAAGATAGGTCCAGATGGGATCAGCAGATCCCCTGTTGTATGCTGGCTGAAAATTCCAAATTTGAAGCGCACGGGGTGCCAGTGGGTCATACATCTTCCACAAGTCAGTCGCGCTAAAGCTGTCCTGATACGTTATATCAAACGTTCCAGAAATTATCGTCTGATTCATGATAAAAAGTGTAGTTGAAGTCAAGATTATCAGTTTGAGGATAACAAACGATACGATCGTTGACACCACTCGAAGGTGACGATTCTTAGCAGCTTGAAAAGCACTTATTGCTTGAAAAGGGGTAATGTAGTCGAGCAGGACCGATCGGGTGGCATCTGCACTTCCAGCCTGGAGTTCGTGCCACGGCTGGCTAGTTCTGGTATGATAATCGACCCGCCTCCACAAGCTAAGAATGAGAATCAGAATTGCCGTTGGACCATAGGTCCAGGAATAAGCGGTTTTAGAGATCGTCAGTGTAAGTCCATTTCGGGACGCGACAACTCTATCCAAAACGACGAGCGAAATGGCACATGTAATGAAGATACATGCGAAGAGTAGGAGTGCAGTTCTTCTCAGCCAGAATGGTCGTTGGAACTCCCTGACAACTGATTCGGGCTGGGCTGGAGCTTGATCTTCGTGTTCATCTTGATTCTGCACCATCAACAGTACAGACTCGGGAGGTTTAATCGCCATCCTCGTCCGTAGCATAGACGTTCGAGTTCAAACCCTGGAAGAATGGAGGTGATAGGTCCAGGACAAAGGCACACCAAACCAGCCGTTGTGATTGTCAACACAGAGATGGTGCCCCTAACGTACGGTCCCACCGACTGATCGTTTCGTAATTCAGGCAAGGCCAAATGCTGTCTCACCCGCGCTTAGCATATATCTGATAATGAAATCCGTGTTTCGACGTGGCGCGAATTCTTAACTCGAGGGCTTTCACGACATCGTGTGGAGCGTGTCTGTGTTTAAAGAAATGAGAGGGTACAAGAACGTGCTTTCCACGCCAACAAAAAATGGGCAACCCACCCAATAAGTATACCTTATACTACCTGCCTTGTTGGTGACTGCCCTGAAACATACATGTCCAACCACTGCTCTTCCTCATTCCCCATTGGCTCCCTCAGGGATCTGGTAATGGGGGCCAAGTCTTATCTCCAGGCCTCTGTCATTTCCGATCATCACTAGCGAATCATTGAAGTGGCCCTACGAGCGCTCCACTCTGCATAATGCTAACAAACATGCTCACTTGTGCCTCTTACCAACACTTTCCTCCTTACCGTCGTCGCCTACAGTGGGTCACAGCTTAAGTACTTGATTGACTAATCGGTCACTCTCATGTACCCCACTTTTAGTGGTAGACATTTTTAGTTTACAGTACAGAGATAAATCTCCAAGGATTCCGGGCCTGATTCAGTACTACGGTATCAGGCTGTATGGCCCAGCTTCAGCGCACCGAATGCGAAAACGAAGTGAGATGGATGATTAGAGTAATTGATGTCAACTGATGTCAATTGATGGCGAGCTTGTAACGATTGAGGTTCGCATAAGGCAAATAGCTACAAACTTATACAGATGTAGTATTTTAATAAGCTACATAACGGTGGGTAATCATTGACTGCCTTCCTGTGATGACGGTCTAGTTGCCTGCTTCCTGGAACTCCTCTACTTGAACATGTCCTATCTGCGACACCATATCATGGAAACGTGCTAACAGGCTACGCTGATACCACCATCTCACCAATGCGGCAATCACGAAGAACACAGCACCAGCGACGCCCGAAGGGAACCAACATCTTTCTGCATACCAAATCTGCTCCCTCGTTTCAGTATTCCAGAGTATTTGAGTTTTGGGATGTATTCGGTCTAGCCAACATCTCGCCTATGACATCAATTGTTAGCGGTGCTGTAAATTATAGGAATGCTGTCGAAGGCTCCGATGATAAATGTGAAGAATCCGAAACCTGACCTTACAGGAAGCAAAACTCTCGTCAAGGATATTTCTTTGAGAGGCGTCAGAGGGATTTCGAACTCATATACTCTCGACAAGCATGGGTTTCAATTCATCACTCACCAACAGAGTTTTTGCGACTTTGAAGATGAATACTTGGTCAAGCAACCGTATCTCCAAGAGGTTAAAGAGGTAATACAGTTCCATATTCCTTACGCTACAAAGGTGCATATACTCGATTGGAGTGTATTTTATAGCCTTCGATCGATCCGCATGCATTGTATAGCTAGCTTCTTGTTACAGCGGAGAAAGCAATTCAACCCCAGTGAGGCGAAGGAACGTGTGTCTGCAGCATAATTAGTCAATCGATCAGTCATCCTCGCTCCGTCACAAACAGTTCAGTCAGGTAAAACGTTCACAAACACAAGACACTTTCTCTTTGATTCAACATGCCTTGCAGATACTAGAGTTCAGTCTACTCAAAGGGGTCATGCGTGAGCTTCCGGACGAAGCGAATGAACTCTTAAAGGGAAGAGGCCAAATGATCAAGTCAGTGATCTGAAGTCCAACCTAAAATGTTTGAAATCATCGAACCATTATTTCTAAACATATATTCAGTTTCTGGAGACCAATCTACCATGAGGTACAAGACTGGCCACTTGTCGTTTGTGATGCCCAGATAACAGATCTACAGGACTTGCGAGCGGTAGATCAGATAACGAGAAGATTCATAGGAGACATCTATTTACTCAGTCTACAACGACGCTTTGAGATGCTACTACATGAGCGCTATGGAGCCAAGTGAGGGCGTGCTATTCAAGAGTTGGGACAACAGTCCTGATACTGCTGCTAAAGGTGAGGTCTCTAAACCTTCCACATGATTTCTGTACTAATTGTGAAGCCTGTCTGCATTCATCCTGTGCGCTTCCATCTCACCTTGTGCCTGAGGGCCACAACCCTCGATATAGCATGGAGGTCCGTGCTCTTGTATTCTCTTAGCTAGCAATTATACTAAAAGGTGTGGGTACCCTATGGGTCACTTAACACTCAAGCCTCACAACGAATTCTTGTTAGCTTCGTTTATGAGTTACCCCGCCCTTTACAATCTTCACCTTGAAACAAACCTCGGCACATTCACCTCTCTACTTGAATCTACCATATCTTGACTTTTCGTCGCTCATACGGTCGGCACCAACTCAAATCGCCAACCTTCACCTACAAGCAGCCTTGTCAAAATGACCATCGTTCACGGCAAATGCAGTGATAGATTCCAGAGCATCCGTTCCCTCCTGGAGAAATACATCGAGTCAGAGGAGGAGCTGGGCGCTTCGATAACCATCAACATTAACGGTGAAGATGTTGTCGACATGTGGGCCGGTCATGTAGACCAAGAGCGAACGAAGCCATGGGACGAAAATACTATTGTCAACGTTTTCTCGTGCACGAAAACAGTCACCAGTCTCGCGGTCCTTATCCTCATTGATCAAGAATTGATCGACCTCAATGAACGAGTGTCACACTACTGGCCTGAATTTGAACAGAACGGTAAACAGGATGTTCTTGTCAGACACCTACTATCCCATACGTCAGGTGTATCAGGCTGGGAAGAGGCTCTATCCACCGAAGACCTTTATGATGTGGAGAAAAGCACCGCGATGCTGGCGGGTCAAGCTCCATGGTGGACACCAGGAACAGCTTCTGGCTACCATGCTTTAGCGTCTGGCCATCTTTTGGGTGAGCTCATTCGACGTGTCTCTGGAAAGTCCCTGCGCGAATTCGTTGCCGATGAGATTTCAGGCCCCTTGAATGCCGATTTTCAAATTGGGGCTTTGGAGAGCACCTGGGATCGCGTTACTCCGATTGTCCCTCCAGGCCTTTCAGGCATTCTGCCCGAGTTCGAGGCTGGATCTGTACAAGCAAAGACATTGTTGAACCCACCTCTGGATCCTAATTCCGTAAACACTAAAGGGTGGAAAAATGCAGAGTTAGGTGCTGTGAATGGCCATGCCAATTCTCGCTCGCTTACACGCATTCTCTCTGCAATTTCCTTGGGAGGATCAACTGGGGGCAAGCAGGTGTTGAAGAAGGAGACAGTTGGCATGATATTTGAGGAACAGCAATCTGGGGAGGACCTGGTTCTGACGATGCCGATCAGGTTCGGCATTGGATACGGACTGACTCCTTGCCCTGCACTTGCCTGGATTCCAGAAGGAAAGATTTGCTTTTGGGGAGGTTGGGGCGGTTCTTTCGTCGTGATGGATCTTGACAGACGAATGACTATTTCTTACACTATGAACAAGATGGGTAGTGGTCTTGTGAGCAGCGATAGGGCTGAGGTCTATGGCAAGGCTATATATGATGCACTACGTGAGTAGTTTGCCCAAGAAACATGCCCTTTCATAACCTAGAGATTGAAATCCGTATCCAAATGAGTTCTTTTAAACCCCAATTTGTGACTCGATATCTTTCCATCTACCTGTACGCATCGGATCGAGGACACGTAACTTAGTAAGCCAAGTCTTCAGTTCGATGAGATCACCCTCATCTCCTTCACGCCCTTCTAATTTCTGTAGAGTCAGGGTATACTCAAGCAGGGCCTCGTAGATGCACTTGACGTCTTTGTAGTCATCTAGCAGATCTTTGATCTCGTCAATTTCATGCCTCACATAAGTTGCCGTTTCATTCAGACTCATAGGTGCTGCAGTTTGTGAGTCGTTATCGCCGACGATTTGTGAGATCAAGAAGCGATGGTAGTACCACAGGCTCTGATCTTCAGGTCCAACATCCAAGCCTTCTCGCACGAAACTCAACTCTTCGTCAAGGAACATCGCTCGTATTTTCGGGTTTGCGCCTCGCTCTTGGAGTAATCTTGGAATAAGCTGACTTCTGTTGTGCCACGCAGAAAAGTTCGATAGGTTGCTCTTTATCATCTTGGTAGTGTATTCGAATTCCTTCTCAACCATGCTCTTCCCTTGTAGGTCAACACTCTCAAGCTTAGCTACCACGAATCTGCGATAACCCCAAGCGTGAAAGTTGCGCTGATCCTTGCTAAGCATCAGAGATGTTAAGCGAAGTCTTCTTCCCAAATGCCCCGAGCAAGAGGTATGGAAAGTCGAAGTATAGCCTGTGATAAGATCCACTGTCGGAAATTCCAGGTCCACTAGCACTTGGGTGACCCCATCAACAGTGGTACCGTGAAAGACAGTTCAGACTTGAGTACATTGGCGTCTGATTCTTGACCCGGTTCGATCTGAACATAAGGTTCTACCCGTTTGGTAAGTATGCTTGACGTCAGACAACGCCGACGAACATTCCATATCGTGTAATATTCAGGGTTGAAACGGAGGAGCTCGTCAGTCAGTTGGTAGAGATCATGATCATATGTTCCAGACGCGACCTGGGCGCGTATCTTGTTCTCAAGATCGCGATATTTCTTTATTTTTGCGAGGTCTCGATGTCTTTCTTCCTCAGTGCGGGTCCTTGTGGTTCGAGCTACACCATGCTGCAAAGGCGGTGAATTAGCCAAGTGGGAGATTTAATACGGTCAAATTAGAATTTACTTACGCTTGCCATTTTGAATTTGACCTCCTAGCTGGGTAGTGATGGGAATGTCTAGATAAAGCAGCAACTGTGTCATGCGCATTGCTGTTTAGGCAGCAGTAAGAACTTGAAGCAATACAGAGATAGCTAGGTGATGTACTCTCATCCACGTGTTAAGGCGGTGACACTCTGCATAACTGAAATGGTACATACTGCACAGGGGCAACCCACTTCCTTACCCTGTTCTGATACAACGGGACGACGGGGTGGGTTATGAGTGTTTTCGCTCCTTGCGTTTTCTCAACATCTTTAATACTTCCTATCTACTCTATGAACTAATCATTCTAAGATCTACCCTGTTTATACACTGCACTAAACTTCCTTTCTTTCATCCAGACTCGCAACTAACGATCAAAATGGAGTTATCAACCTCTCCATCTAGTAAACCAGTTCTCACTATTTCCTATCCTCAGCACCCTCTAGGGACGTTCAACGCCAGATGACCAAGATTACCAAGGGGTAAAGGCTCGGCAAAGTTTACCATCTTGTCGTTGGACCCAATCCTCACTTCCAACACACCGAGGACACCACAAAATTCCTTCAGGATCATACTTCTCCTTGATATCACGGAGTCGTGCGTAATTCGGCCCCCAGAAAGACCGCTGCCAGTCAGGTTCAATTGGGTTTGCCTTGTTTCCACCAGTTAACAAAGGGTGTCAGGCAAGAGTATCAGGTGCTATCTTACCTCATTCAAGTAGGCTCCCTGAACAGGATCCAACTCTCTCATCAGCGCGAGCTTTCTGTATGTCACATCGTGAATGATGTTTCTGACTTCGGTTTCGTTGGTGGAATCAGTCCAGCCTTGGCCAGTGATCAGATGAACGGTGGTGTTTCGCCAGGATGGATGCAAAGAATTGTTGACTGGCTTGGGGCTAATGGTGAGAGTGCCAGACATGGAAAGGTTAGACAAACCATTCTAGGAGTTTGTTAGAGCGATGAGAGATATCAGAGTTTTGGATATATACGTACAGGTGGCGCATGCTTGGTTGGGCCAATCTTCTTATAGACAGCCGCGAATTCCTCTGTCCTTTCTGTCACAGTTTTTCGTGAGATCAATCGGGTAGCTCTGATGTCATGGCCTGCACCCACTGACCCGATGTTAGGTAGTATCTTGAGCAGTCCCTGCCAAGAGCTCACCGGCATTTTAGTCAAAGACCCAGTTACGGTACTGTTGGACGCCTTGAGCAGCTTCTTGAAAGGTTCCAGAGCGTCTTCATAAGTTTCGTTAGAAATGCCAAAGCCCATGAATGATCCACTGAAAGTCAGTGCCTCTGCCTTTGGAGGGCCTGAAACTGTATAATATCCGTGGATACCCGCGTCTTGAATTGCAGGGAACAGCGCATGGGCATCTGCAATGAATTTGTAGAAATCATCTTCCGACGTGCGGTTCTTGGCACTGATGTCGTAGCCTCCGATGACCAGATCTGGTGCGGGATAAGCCTTGAGACTCAACTTTATAATGACACCAAATGTGCCGCCACCACCACCGCGAATAGCCCAATACAGATCCTGGTTTTGACACTCATTGGCGATCAGGACCTTACCGGCTGGAGTGACAATCTCTGCCTCGAGAATGTTATCAGCTCCTTGGCCGTATTTGCCTGTTGCAAAGCCATGACCACCACCGGTAGCCCAGCCAACCACTCCGACATCCTATAGCCATGGTCAGCAAGGTAATGTAGCCTAGTTTAACAGAGGCAACTTACACCGCTGGTACCTCCAACCGCTAGCGCATCCTGGGCTGCTAAAGCTTCAAACATCTCACCATCTTGAACTCCAGCACCCACGATGGCTGCCATAAGAGGGCTTGGGGTATCTTTAGCGTTGGGACAGGTAAGGTTGAAATCTTCCTGCAAGTCGATGCTCTTCAAGTTGTGGGTCCAGATCCTGTCAAAAGGATTAGCATCAGTGCGACATCTTCAATCACAGATCGACTTACGATAAACTACTGTTTCCCAAGTTTCTGAATTGTGTTAGCAGATTTCAGCAAATAGAAAGCGATGTCGATATTGTTTTACCTTCCGTCCCCAGCATGGCCAGTGTTCTTGATCGCCAATCGTATGTTGTGTTCGGTAGCGAACTCCAACGCTGCTACAACATGATCTGTCCCAGTGGCGTTCACGACATAAGTAGGAAGAACTCCATTTGAGCAACCTCGCTTGCCAGCTTCGGGGTCGCCGTAGATGCTTGTGCCGTTCTCATATACTGGAATGCAGCCAGCATTGGCCCATTCGGTGTGGAGACTGGCCGGATCGCTGGAGTGGAACTTCGACTCGGGCCATTCCTTGATCACCTTGTCACAGGCTTTGCGGTCGTAGTTAGGGTGGGAGCTATAGCAAACAGCACCTGGCGGAATGTACTTGATCAGATGTCCGCCAAGAGTAGAGTTCAAGGAGTTCCATTTCGTTGTAGAAGGCCAGCAAGGATCGTCGGTTGTCTTGTAGATCGTTAGAATGCAGATAGAATATGGCCAACGTGACTTACGCATCGGCATTGTTCTTCTGCAAGTCCAGATGCAACGAATGATCCTACGACAGTGAGCGCGGGGAAGAGGGAGTTCCCGAAGAGGCGCATCTTAGTTTGTTCAAGGCAATGTGGACAAAGAATGAATGAATAACTTGTTGGAACCCAGAGAGAAATTCCTTCCCGTTATATATCTGGAAAAGCTGATAGCGTATAAATAAACTGAATACGTTTGACGTCATGGTCCATAGTATAGGTACGCGGAAATGTCAGTACGAACGTTGCGCAAATACGAATATTCACGAAAGATGCGAAAATGACTGTGTTGGGTTAGGCTTGTCCCACAACTGACGTTTCCCGGCCCATTGATTTTGTGGCTTTGTTCCGAACTCCCGAAGAGTAGCTTTCCTACGTAATACGCGATACGCGTATAACATGGTGGGACCGCTGGCCGTATTTTGACTAGTCATTGACGCGTGATAACTAAGCTGTTATTCCACCGTTCAGGGGAAGCCGATTTTGAGGCTGCTGAGCATTTCCCAACAGACAATTCACCTACAGAAAACTTAGCAGGTAGCGATTTTGAGGGAAATAATTAAGTAGACAGGAATTTAATTGTGATAATCAGTTCTTCGCTACGCGATATTTGTATTAGTCTTCCTATTCAGAACAAAGTTCCCTAAATCCGCGGTTTTATACGCGTTCCAATGCGGTAGTTGTATCTAAAACAAATAAAAGGTGCTAAACCCCAAATTACATTACATACTTGCGAAGTGGGAGAGGAGCATACCTTTGAACTTATTTGATTTATAACTTGTAATTCTATATAACTTGTTTTACTCATTTAGAAGTACCTTATACCTGTTTCCCTTCGAAATATTTGAAGGTCCCGGGTAGGTTCTTTTATCTTATCTCCTTATCTTATCTTATCTTTCACTCCAACTCTAACCTCTTTATCTTTTTAAGCGGGTCAATCCGCGCATCGCTTACCGGAACACCCTCTCTTTTGACCTATGGCGTCAGGTTAGCCAGCATGCTAATAGTTGCAGGAGTCGAGACATCACTTTTTCAATTCCAACATCCACTACGATTACGTCGACTAGAACAGGGTCCATGAACCCATATCATATCTGGTGTATTTTCAGGGGAAGGTGCGCATCGACCTGCCTCTTCGTTTGAGTGATTTCTGATGTTGCGAAGTGCATGGATAGTTCAAGCCCGGCCACGGATCTGGCTGGGGAGACGGATATGCTTGAAAAAAAGCAGATCAGCCCCACACATATCATTTCCGTGAGCTAGAGATTTAGCGCATCGGCCTGCCTCGCGACGTTCACGCCCAGTGGAGCAGCATTCCGCTCTTATGTCACCTCCTTCTCCACTTTACTGTATTTCACAAGCTCAAGAATGAGGGAAAGCCCACGTTATCGTACCGTCATATTTTGTAAGATATCTACTATCTAAGTGGACTAACTGAGCACTTATGGTAGTAAGTCAAAGAGGTATCTATATGCCCTCAATTGGTGTTCTCCTGCCATAAACTATCTCGTATGTAACAGAAGAATCCGTATCCTTCTCCTACTCCCACGGCTTCATCAGAGTGTTCGCTTCCATCTGCTTGTCAAACTGAGGAATATGTGTAGTATGGCACCAAGGCTTGTTGGACTCCTCCTTGCGGACTGTGCACGCGAACCAAGAACACCAACCGTGACGAGGGAATGACTGGTTGATGCTGTTACGAGTAGTCTCATCAATCCAGCTACCAAAATCCTCGATACCTTCATATACGCCTACATTATCATACAGCGTAGCAAGTTGGATCAACTGACCGAGGAATGTGATAGTTCCATCTACACCCATGTCCTGATGGCGAATGATGGCCTCACCAACAGCCTCGGCTTGATCTGTGCTACCGCCAAGCACCTTTAGGACTTCCATTGCTTTGATGCCGCCATAGATATCGAATGACATGCGCGTCGAGGTGAAGTAAGCTTCTGCGGTACCGATGTCGTGCAAAAGGCAAGTAAGTGCCCAGGTGGATGGTGACAGCAATTTAGCATGCTCAGGCAGCAAGCGCTTTGCAATGATAGTCCCTAGTCGAAAATTCAGCATTGCTTCCTAACCTGTGTCATTGCATAACTAACCCCAGTAGAAGACACGAATGGAGTGGTTGTAGGCTTCTGGGCTCAAGCGTGCCTTGACAAAGGCTTCAGCTTCGGCGACAAGCTTGTCTTCAGTCGGGAACGGAATGTCTTGAGTCTTATAAGGAGGGACTTCCTGAAGCTTTACCACAGAATCGATGATCTTTTTAGCGCTTACGGGAACAGCAGTCCAACCGTTAGCCTGAACTTCGTTGTGAGACATGTTGTTCCTTTGAGCGACGAGAGTGCGTAGTAAAATCGAGTTTAGTAAAATGTGAAAATTTTTGTGGGCAGAAAGATGAATGATTTTCAGGATGAAGGTTTCTTGGATATCTATATATACCCAAATCGATGGTTTTACTCACTTTCTTTCCCCCAAGGGCTTGATGATGCGGGATGAGGAAAGTGGAGGATCATGAACAGGCACTAGACTGAGAATGGAAAATAAATGAAATTTAGTGGGCCTCTGACGTTGAGACCTCCCCGCTTCCGAATTTGACAATATGAATTATTAATAGACTCATGGAAAGTCAGATTTACAACTCAAAATGTCAGAGCGGATCGACCGGATAACGTACTCAACCTTTGCTCGCGACTGAGTTACTAGATTACACTCACTCTGCTTGGCTAATCATCCAGTACCGTTCCAGGTCAGACGTCAATTCAACTCCAATGAGTTTGCGGAAATGGGAAGATGCTGGACCTGCAAAAAACGGCGCCTCAAGTGTGACGGGGGTGTTCCGTCCTGCCAAAAATGTTTGGGCCACGGTGTGGAATGCCTTGGCTATAAGAAACCCCTGACTTGGGTCAAGGGTGTGGCTCGACGTGGACCCATGAGGAATCGAACGTTTGGAGAGTCTGAGCGACAGTCGCTGACGGTCAGCGAGGGAAATGGATTATCCACCTGTCAAGGATATTATTATCCGGCTCAAGCACCAAATACATGCCCGGCCAGTTTCTCACTGCCGATGACTCTCACGGAGCCTTTGTTCAATGACTTGGGCAACATTCCTCGGTTCTTCATCGACTATTGTTGGTTTTCATCGACCCTCTGTATCCCGGCCACTAGCTTATTCATCTTTAGTCTCGAAGCGCGTTTGTGGGAGCCTTGTCTTTCAAGATCATACCGAGAATCCATATCGTAAGATCATTCTCTGGATTAGATCACCAATGGTGGCAACGACTATCGTGACAGTAGCCGCGTGCCACTACATTCAAGCTCTCACGGGCTCGACTCTGCCCGGATCACCACTGCCAGCGACAGATCAAGCACCTCTGCTTATCACGCCCAAATCGGATATCGCTGGGCTAACTACATCTGAGAGAGTGCTAATTGACTACTACTTGCGGTCGAAGGAAACAAGCTTGAACCTCGTCTCGTCTCACCTGAATATGCATCGTTCTAAAGCTGGAGACAATGCCAGCGTTATTGCAATCGTGCTTCTGGCTGTCCTTGATATTTTTGAGAGTGGATCCGGAGCCTGGAATGTACATCTCGAAGGATCCAAAAAGTTAATGGAAGCTGGATCTACTGATAAATCTCGAGTTTGGGATAGCAGTGTTGAAAGTCTACTATGCGAAGCTGCCACGTGAGTACTGCTGAGTCAAGTCTTGTTCTATTATCAGCTGATACAGATCCTTTGTGTAGTTTCCAGATATTTGGATCTTCTTTGGCGAAGTTAGGGGCTTTAAACAGTGAATCCACTCTCCCTGTAACGCAAATCAGAACTTCCTCAACTGTCGCGCCAATTGGATGCCCTATTGCTGTTCTGTCCACTATTGAAACCTTTGCCCTGTATCGAAGAGTCAATGGTATGTTTGCTGCACAGATAGCAGATATCAGATACTTGAAGGACACACTGCACCGTCTCCGTTCATATGACATTGCAGCGTGGGCGATGGATATCATAGTGAGTGATTCGATTGTGCCATACGGGGATCTAATGCAACTCGGCACAATTTGGAGGCTATCAGCTGAAATTTATGCCCGCCGTGTCCTCTTCAATCTTACTGGGGATGCCTCCATCCTTGAACCATCACTTGTTGATGACCTTATAGCAGAACATGCATTCCTGGAACGCGAAGACGATAATCTCCTCAAGTGCCTGATATGGCCAACGTTTATCGCCGGCGCAGCGACTCTCAATCAGCAGAGAAGACCGTGGGTACTTAAAACATTAGACAGGATCTGGCAAATCGGGTATTGCGCAAATACGAGGAATGCTGCAATGGTTCTAGAAAGCTTATGGAAGAAACATGATTTAATATCTTCCAGGGTCATGCCTCTACACAACAATCCAGTGGCAGCTGAAGATTCATCAGTTGATCATAACGCTTACAATTGGATTCTTGAGCTATCACTCTTAGATGGCTCGTGGCTCTTCATTTAACACCAGTCAATGTATATGTCAAGTTGGTACAATAGAAATCTTCTAATTTGCATCTACCTTCCAAGCTCAACTGGAACATCATCGACTTCAGATTCTGCAAAAGCTATATCCGCAGTTACTGTCGCCTCGATTGAGCGTGTTCACGGACGTAGTACTATCGTGGCCATAGGAAGGCTGCGGGTCACACCGTCTCTCGGTTTTACGGCGGCGGAGCTATCCACTAACCGGCATGATCCCGATTAACTCCACATCCCGCAAGGCATTATCTCGCGTCCCTCAATCCCATGATCATGCAGACCTATCGGTCTCATATGTAATTGCCATTTGCAACCTTGCTTCGGCCTGATCATCTATCCGATACTCACCACTATCCACCGCAATGCAATCTCTTCTTGTCCCTCGGCTCGCCAATCGCGGTATACCGCTTTTCTGTCGGGCATCTCATTTGGCTCGGTCGCGTTATGCCGGCCTTCGATCTTTATCCTCCAAAGCATCTACACGCGTCGCCGTCCTCTACCAGGCATTGGACCCTCCTATCATCAATGGTGTCCGCAAGCCCAAGAAGCCAGGCGGTTATCAGGACTCGGGCGCTGATATCGCCTACAACCTCGATCAATGTGATGATGTCCAGGTTATAACACCAAACAGTACCCCGGAGCCCTTAAAGATGGCGACTGGTGTTTTCCTGATACCGAAGAAGGTATGTTAGAGGCAATTGAGAAGGGCGCCAATTATCTTTGGTCAAATACCATTGTTTTTGCCTCGCATCCATTGCAGACATCGACTCAATTCGATCCCTTTCAAGATCGCGTCCGAGTCATTGGCTAAGGTTTGTTAGTGGTCGACAAATACGATGATAAAAAGTTTGTCAACAACTACTTGCGGGCCGTCGGTGGATTCACTATGCCACGAACCTTCACTGCATCCTCGCTGACCGAGGTGGCTCAATCGGCTGATAACATCTCTTACCCAGTTGTTGCCAAGCCAATTCGTGGGCGTGGCAGCTTCGGTGTTAAGGTGTGCCACAACAAGAGCGAGTTACTAACCCACGCTGAGGAACTATCCAGCAACTCTATGGCTTTTATGGTGGAAGAATTTCTGGAAGGCGAGGAGGCGACAGTGACTGTCATGCCCCCTACCGCAGAGGGTCAAGACTATTGGTCTCTTCCCATTGTCACTCGCTTCAATCATCAGAATGGAATTGCATCATATAACGGCGTTGTAGCGGTTACCGCCAATTCACGAGTAGTGCCCGAGAGTGAGACTGGCCCTCTCCATGAGAGGCTAGCTAGAGAATGTGAACGAGCAGCTAGTCTTCTCAGGTTGGCTGCTCCCATTCGCATTGACGTCCGAAAATTCAAGGACTCGTCTGAATCGGCATACGCGTTGTTCGACGTCAACACGAAGCCTGTAAGTACACCCCATTTATTGGACTCTCGTTCCTCGACTAAGACAGGCACAGAATATGACAGGTCCCGGGCGGCCCAATCGTGATGATCAAGCCAGCTTGACTTTGCTAGCTGCAAATGGTCTAGGTTGGGATTACAATGAGCTTTTACGACGGATTTTAGGTACCTCAAGCTCTCTTAGGACACTGAGAGCACTCAGGCCTGTGGAAAAAATAGCAGCAACGAGCTTCTAGCCGCATTTTTTAGACATTCAAAGGTCAGGTTGTTATCACTGGACAATTGATAAGGAACTAAAACGCCCGTCAGAATATTCAAGTAAAAGTAAAGGCAACAGTCTATCCACACGATCTTCCAATCCTTCCAGCATAATAGATAACTCCAATTGATTATTTAAGAGTACTTGATACCTCTCCTCTCCATGATATCATTGTAAGGTTCCAGGTAGGTCTTCTTATCTTATCTCCTTATCTTATCTCTAACATTCGTTACACCGCCTTGACATGATCGGAGCCAGGCTTTTACAGGGCTATTCAGGAGAGTCTCAGTTTGGTTAACCCTGCGACCAGGGTAGATCAATAGCTCTTAACTATTGACAGTAGCGACGAATCGAGAACATCTTAGCGCCACGCATCATTGCTTTCCTTTCTTCTACACAGCTGCCAGCCAACAGCTGGGTCTATACACTAGACTAAAGGAGGAAATTATCCCAATAGTGCGCCATCTGTGCTTCAATACTATCATACGACTGTGAGTTAAAAGCATCGTAGCTAACAGGGGTCTTATTAGGCGATCTATAGAAAGCTCCCTCATAATTGGAACGTCCCTGATACCCTCCGACTTTGCTGTTATTTTGTGTACTCTGTTTCCTTCTCTACTCTTTTTGTGATCTCTCGTCGCCTCCTCCAGTATGTGGAAGCAGCACAAGCTTCTGGCCCTCTGGGCGTCATTGATACATCATAGCTGAGGTCTTACCATTGGGTCTTCGACAGGCGGACTAGCACTTGCCAGAGTCCTGTTCAATGACTCCAGAGATATTTTCTCTTTATCATCCGGTGGCTCTGGAGATCCATCTGCTATACGACCGTTTACCAATGGGCCTTTCGGAATGGAAAAGGGTATCATTTTATCAACTGGAAGTCTTACCTTACCTCTCGGCCCTGGTGACACTTGTCCAAGCTCTTATACAACTGATGTGTATGATGCCTATACTCGTTCGTATTGTGGCGCGGATAGCTATAACGGTGTTATATACACCTTGAACGTTTTGCCGACAAAGGCTACTACATTTCTCGTCGACATAGTTATTGCAAGCTGTGATCTCATGTAAGTGTTCTACTTCTGTAGGGATATACTGAAATGCTAACTCTACAAGATCTGGAGATAAAGTGATACTTATGGTTGATGGTGTGAATTACGCAAAAGACGAAAATGGGATTGCACTCGACTCCTCATCAAAGTACCTCGGCGAACCCTGGGGTATACCTTCGCCCAATGGCGATACTGCATTTTTAATGTCTTCTCCTCCTCTCCGCTTTTCGATTCCAGTTCCAAAGTCATACGTCGAACTGAAGATTGCCGTATGCGACCGTCTCGATGGCTATGGTGATACTGCCGTCATGGTCAAAATCCGACCCTGCAACGACTGCGATCAGTCATTTAAAGTGGACTACGACGCAACAACTGTTACAATCACCACGACTTACGAAGCAACTTCTATAATCACACAACCAGCTTCCGGGACTGCCCGAGGGACTATCTCTCATGTCACATATGTAACTCCCTCTCCTGTCAGCACTACATCATCGTCACAAGACTCAACGTCGGAGGACATTACATCCTCAGCAGTATCAGCAACTTCGACATTTTCGACATCGTTCATAGCGTCAACGTCAGATTCACCTGCACCTGCCACAACGTCTTCCGCGCCGCTGTCCTGTAACGAGATGAGCCATCCCTATCAAGCTCCTTCTGGATCAAAGTTCCAAGTTGATTGCGATTCATATGCAACCGGCGGCAACCAAATTGGTCTGAGTCACAAGGCTGGCGATTTATCGACATGCATAGACTTATGTGCTACTACCTCCAATTGCCAGGCTGCACTACTCGATCGAAGTCAGTTGCTATGCTACCTACTCGACGGTACTGATGGTCCGGCTTTCAACAATTTGTACGACATGGCTACTCTATTATCGTCCACGCCATCCACAACCGAATCGTCCGAGGCATCATCCTCAACCACCTCGCCCCCATCGCCACAAACTTCGCTCTCATGTAGTCAGATGGTGAGCAGTATCTACACTGACAAGTTCACCATCAGTTGCGATACTGTCTCGACCGGGGAATCTATCTATCGAAGCGCTGAGGAAGATAGCTTGGAGAATTGCTTGGCCATGTGCGACAACGACATCAGGTGCCTGGCCATAAACTTCTACCCTTATCCCTACAGTGAGTGTCACTTGATTGAGTCGTTTGCCGGGACTCGATCTTCTACTGGTGTCAACTTTGCTTCCAAGGCAATTTTATCATCCTCAACCGCGTCTACATCATCGGAGTTCATACAGTCAACTCTCTCCACAGATGTATCAACTACAAAGCCAGCAACATCAATGACATCATCAGCGCCATGGTCAGATTCCACATCGGAGCTCACATCGGAGGACTCCCCAACATCAATTGGAGTTTCATCATCGCTAGAGTCTACAATAGCTACATCAACAGCTACTACAACCTCGCTTGACACAGCCACCACTCTGGCGACGCCAACCACTGTCAAGACATTAGCTACAGAGGCACCGGCGATTGACACTTCAACTTTTATAACTTCAGCTACCGCAATCAATCAAAGTTCAACGTCAGACGGAGCTGGCTGCAGGAGGCGCAGAAGATCACAACGATAAGGTGAACGGGATTGGTGGTACCTCCACCATACGCCTATAATTCTTACTTACTGCATGGCGGTACTTGTGTCTATCATAAGAAGAACAAGCGTAGATGACCGGATAGAATCACTCATGTTGGGGTGTGGTCTGAAGCCCATCAGGCCTTTTTAGGTAATTGAACTTTTTGTAATTATAGGGTTAGGAGTTTCGGATCAAACGTTGAATTCTCTTCACATTCTAGACCGTAATGTTGTTATGGGAGATTCTGCTGTTCATAGCCAATAGAAGATCAACTATCTAAGAACTATTCGAGAGTTCATCCTTCCATGACCTAATTTTCTTTTCCGCCTCAAGAGTCATACTATGGTTATGTCCCAGTGCCAACCGACGACCTTCAACACACTTCTCCATCAGTTCTATTGCTTCTTGGAGCCGCCCAGCTTTGTACCACAGTGTTGCTATGTTACTCGTAGTCCTCAACGTGTCGGGATGCTCCTTACCCAAAAGGTCTTCCTGTATCCCGCGTACTTTGACTAAGATCTCCTCGCTCTTATCCAACTGCTGCTTATCATAGTAGCAAGACGCTAGGTTGTTCATGCTAACCAATGTCTCGGGATGCTGCAGTCCTAGAACCCTTTCTCTTCCTGCAACGACAGATAAATGAAGAGTTTGGGCCTCATCTGTCAGCTTTCGCTCTCTGTATACTGTTGCTAGGTTGTTACCGGCGGCAAGCGTTTCACAGTCTTCATCTCCATACAGTTTCCTCTGCGTCTGTAACACCCGCTCAAAAAGGTGTTGAGACTCCTCCAAGTTGTGTTCGTTCTGGTATATCAATGCCAAAGTGTTCATGGCATTAAGAGTGAGACGGTGCTCGTCACCGAGGGCCCTCTGCATTGTCTCAATCAGGGGTACTGCGAGTTCCTTCCCTTCTTCGTACTTGCCCAGCTTCCACTGGAGTAGCACTTGATTGCCCGAACTTTCTAGTGTCTGTATATTCTCCTCCCCCAGTACCCGCTTCCGAATTTCAATAGCCTTCTTCAACATCTCTTTTCAATCCAGGTACTTCCCCTCTCGACTCAAATGCTCAGCGGCCCGGTGCAGAAGTGTAGCTGCCGATATTTGCATGCGTTCATTGTCTTGAATATTCTGGTATGAAAGTACCGCGGTCGCATGTGGCAGATAGGCACTACAGATTGATCTGTTTTCAAATTTGCCCTCGGGATAGTTGTCAGATACTATCAAGAGTGCTTGGCCTGCGTAAAGCGAGACTCTGGACATCCGGTTCAACCAGTTTCGAGTAATAAGTTGTACCAGTCGATGCATACTAAGATTCCCTGTCATGGTCTCTGCGACAAGAGAAAATGCCTTGAGAGTACCTAGTGCGCACTCAAACGCGATATCGGCCTCGGAACTGTCTTCATCATCTGGCTGACCAGTTTTGAGACGTTGATAGTCAAGTAGAAATTTCTCCGGTATATCCACTCGACCGAGAAAGCCCATCAGGGATAATAACTCTCCAGCGAAAGTGTGCTGTGTCTCAATCATCTCAAATGTGATGATTAGAGTTTCAGTTACAGCGATTGATGTACTGGAGCTTGGCTCATCTGATTGAATTCTTGACTCAGTGAACGGACCAAGTGTCTATCTCCTTTTTTGAGCTGCTCGAGGTATCGCGATGTGGACATGCTTTGTGCTTTCATAAAGGCGGCTGCCTGTACGAGGGCCAACGGAAGCTTCTCTAACCTCGAAGCGAGAGCGAATAATTCACCAGGTTTGTAATCCTGCTCAGGTAACCTCGTCCGCAGAAGTGCTTCTGCCTCATCGTCCTGCATCTCGTCAACCTTGATCTCGCAATGGCCTCTACTTCGTGTGAACCGCTCCCCAAGCTTCTTGTTTCGTGTTGTGATAATAATTACGCTGTTCGCTGTGCTGGGAAGATAGCTGGCAAAACCCTGCTTCTTGGTAGTTGTTGACTGACTGGAATTGTTCGACTGGGATGATTTAAAGAACATAGTCGTGTCATCTGCGTTATCGACAATCATGAGCCAAGGCTGTTTGTATTCGTTTAGAAGCCAGCGCTGTACTGTTGCTAGAATATCTGTCTCGGGCTTATCGTGGTCGGGCACCTGACACCTTTGGGCGATTTCAAGGAAGGATCGGTGGAATTGTTCGGCATTACTTGCATTGACCCAATAGACAGATATGTCCGGGTTTGAGTCCTGCAATGAATGTGCATAGGCTAACGCAATCTGGGTCTTGCTGCGATTCATTAGCACAAGAAAATATGGTTAGAGTTTCATACCTACCCAACTCCACCCAGTCCGTAGAGGTACGCTTTATGGCCGGCTTTGAAGGGAGTCGAGCGCTTGTCGAATCCATGCTGATACTGAAGCTGCTGCAGGATGTCCTTGCGTCCAATAAACTCGTTATTCTTTATATACGGAACGATAACTACATAAGTCAGTAAACTGCTTAAATTTGTTCTAATCTCCACTGACAGTGTGTATCTACAGAGAGCTTCTTGCGGTGGCCCTTTACTGCTCTTCGGGCTAAACCGCGCAGAGCAATGCGCACCTTGTCGTACTCGTGGTCATTCTCTGCGTACTTGACTAGCCCTGAGTGTGGCCGACTAATAGCACAGATATGCTCGGGGCTGTTCTCCCACGGACGACAGTGAGTCGCTGATGCCTTGCTGACCAACAGCGCTAACGGTTCATCCATCTTCCATCTCCCTGTGCTGTCCTTCGTTCATCAATTTAGCAGAGGGCCTTTCCCTCTTTGTAAGTGGAAGTCAACTTACTTGAATAGCCGTGGGGGACATTTTATCTTCATAAAAAGATACAACCTCCGACTTGCCTTCCGGTCCAAGTACATTGACAAACTCCCGCTGTAGGTAACCTAGTACCTGCGAGTTATCTCTGCTGAGAGACTCTACAAGGGCTCTCGAGGGCGCGTCTCCTGCCATGCTAATCAGGGAGCTAATGTCCATCCCCAAATGCGGAACACCGAAGAATGCGATCCCATAAACAGCTTGTAGAAGCCCGCTGTCTTCAGGAAGTGTCGACTTGGCTAAGTTTACCAGAGACTACCATGAATTTAATACCCATTTTCTTGTCATTGATAACATATATGAGACGTACCTGTTTGACTACTATGCCCCCAAGACTGTGAGCTATGAATATAATCGGCTTTGTCTTAGGGCCCTGGTCAAGAGAGCGTAGGCTGGCAACCAACTGCGTTGCTATGTCCTCGATGTTCTGGATGCTGTCACTTTCTGCTACAACTGACTTGTACCCATATGTCATGATTCGCGCCATGGATCGCTCATTAGATGGCGATGTAAGATCATATGGTAAGTCGTCTCGAAGCCACATATGTTCCCCGTCTCGCTCTCTGAAGGAACCAAATGCATGACCGCCCAGACCCGGAATTGCGATGACACTATAAGAATCAGTTGAAGATTATGCTTTAGAATTCAATACCGGTACTCAAGCTTGTGATCTTCTTCATTGGGAGAGGAGATGGTGGTTATACCCAAGAACTCTTGGTCGAAGCTGAGTGTAGCAGGCCTGTTTATCACCGTTGCTGAGCTTGGAAGAGGGATATGTGTGAACGCCGTGACTTTCCCCAGGAATGTTGTTGCTGATCGGGAAGTACCTTGGAGCTCAATTGCTAGGGAGCAGACGACGGCGTCTTGGAGGACTTTTTGAGTCACCAGGAATTCCTTCAAGCGTTCAGCGTCCCATTCCAGGGGTATGCCACGGATCCGGTGGGTTTGTCGATACTTTTTGTTGGGACCAGAGACCGATGCAGATTTATGAGCGACTTTAACAGGCGCATAGAAAAACCAAAAGAAGGTGCATAATGCAATGATGGCAAGAATAATCCAGTGATTGAAGTCGACAAGCATGGTTAGTATTGATTTGGAATCACGAGCAGTGTTGGTCGTCATTTGCCCGGCAGGGTGAGAAATGAAATGGTGAAGTGCCAAGAAGGATGGGATTGCTTGTTTTACCCTCACTCAGTTGAAAATATAAAATGCGAACCAGGCAACTCAGCTCGCAACGTCATCAATCGATTGAGGCTGAATGGCATTGTAATCCATTGGCTAGAAACTGTATCGGCTGACTGGTTACAGGGATGCCCTCATTGCACTTTCAGCTTACTGTGACATTTAGAGCTACTAGTCCTACTTCAACAATTATTAATATTTATCATTGCCATTGGCTTAATGGCTATGTGATTTCCTCCCTTTGTGATACAGCTCTATCAACCCTAGTATCTTTTCCATCAATGTCTCTTCTGCGATGTCTTATACTTTCTCCATCTATAAACTGAAAGCAACAAACACTGCCAAAGCCAATGTCCCCAAGCCCAAAATGCTAGGCGCAGGTCCTGTCACTGGAGCCGCGCTCTCCTTCTCCCTTGCCGAAAAGATGCCTATTTGGGACGTGTTCATACCAGTCGCCCTCAATTGTCGTAGGAAGTAACCATCAAAGCTATTGGATCCAGAGGCTTCGTAGGCGTCCATAAATTCGGCCGGCAGTTCGCACCAAAGAGTGCAATTTCCGTAGAGGTTGACAGAGTTGGGAGAGCAGACCTGTCTCATTCCGCCGTATGAGTCATTGGTCATAGCGACCCAAGCCGTTGGTACATCATCGCCAAGAGACGGAAGTCGAGATGGTAGGCGGTTTGTGTCACACTCTCGGGTGACAATTTCCGTGAGATTGGGAAGGGAGCTGTTTGACATGTTGAAGACTTTCGGTGGTGGATGTGATTTATCTCTGGAAAATGGTTTGTCTATTTTTTTGAGTTTTTCCGAGGCGTAAGTCCCGAAGTATATCGCTTGTGGAATGTAGATATGATAATTCAGCTTGTATGCGATGTGCTGCGAGGTACTCTTAAAGATGCTGACGTTTTGTGGGGAACTGGGGATTAAGGTGAATAAAGAAATGCCCGAGACCTAGCATAACCTTGTTGCCTGTGGGCTCAGTGTTTCTGCGCCTGACTAGGCTGGATGATGTCACGCAAAAATCAAGGCTGTACATCTTGGCGCCGGCTGTGCTCAACGGCTAAGCAAATTAAATACCAATCAAGATGGGTAACTAGCAAGAGGATTAGTATCCCTGCCTTTCAAGGCTTTCTGGGCATTAAACACCCATTCACGAACAAATCTTCCGCCCGGAAGAAACATAGACCGTCTGACAGGGTTGATGGAAACCGGGGAAATCAGACGATCGTTACCGGGATGGGTAAAGCGAAGGATCGAGATAAGCATAACCTGACATCACTCAATCTGCCTTGGATGATGATCTGATTATTCCCTGTGAAGGTCAACGATGTCGGTGAGATAACAGCATGGTGGGTAAATGTCTACGCTGGATTAATACATAACTTACAGACTTACAATAAGCAATAAAAGCAGGACATCCAGACAATAGCTTCAGAATTAATAAATGCCGTTTAGTCTGTAGGCCGCTCCACATGATGACAATGCGGGCGCGTGCAACAGATTTGAAAATAATGTCAGGTATCTCCTCAATGGGGCAATCCTTCTCTTCATGGGAATTGGATTTATCTTATTGTGGTATTTGTAGTGTTTAGCTGCTTTTGACACATATACCAAGTTCTCCCTGAAGGATTACATAACCCATCTCGACATGTACTCGGTTGCTAAGCTTACTATAGTATTAGTATTTTTTTCAACTGCTATTATTTACATTCGCTCCTCTTCCCCGCGTCTACACCGTGATAAAACTGTAAACCATCTCGTGTTGAGGACTTTTATGGTCCTTGTCTCCACCGATTTGGAATCCTAACCTAGACCAAGTAAAACATTCTGTAAACGCAAGCTCTCTCACGTGACAATCCAAAACAGGGGTGCAGGAAAATTCCGCACTCTGAAGCATCCATTTGTTTATACTGCATTTATGCTGCAACTGGTCCGACAAATACGGCATTGCTTGTCGCTCTTCCATCCTCGATTGCCTTCTAGAATTAAAGACCTTTGGGGACAGTACTACACCATGACGCAGATTTCTGAGATTTTTCCATGGCACTACCAATGTCTCTTCATGGTTCTTGAAGTATGCAGCCTGAGACATTCTCGTGTGTCGGCACATCTAGCTAACTCATTTATAGCCCACTGCAATTGTTACTGCTCTTCTTTCGATTCCGGTATCACCAGCGAATCATTTTCACTCTCTCGCTCCTGATAATAGTGCTGGACCTCTTTGGTCGCCATCTGCATTCCAGACGCGTTGCGATGCTGAGTCAGCTTGGAATACCCCGCAGCTACGCGGTCTCTGGTACGCGTACATGGCTGCTCTTGCTTTTAGTGGAGTAATTGAGCCAATGCTTCTGTACGTGGCACGTTATAAGTTGAGAGACGCAAGCGATGCCGAGCAGGTCATCATAGCAGTTTTGGCCTCGTTCTCGGTATTCGACATATTACACGCTGGCGCGACATTGGCTGTCACCGGGGTTGCAGCAGCTCTTCCCGGGTCTAGTATGCACATCTACGCTATGGTGAACGTTTGGGTGCCAATGGCATGGTTACTGTTGAGGATATCGTGGGTGTTGGGTCTTGGGAGAAAGTCAGCTGTGAACAGGACCAAAACGGAGTAACGCGTCTTATTACTAGAGGGTCATTTCACTTTGTTATGGATCATGCATACAAGCGTAGCTGAACGTATTGTGAAGCCGGTTTTCGAACATGTAACGCGGCTCAGATATAAGTTGACATGTAAAAGAGCATTGGAATTCTCGTTTTCTCGCCCAGCTCATGCTTCCGTCTTCGATCAATCACTAAGTGCTACGAGGTTAGTCGATGCGGGGCGACTTCAGATCATCGAACCTAAATCTCGGCCCGCCGGGACCATCCGGCGAGCCGACCAATTGAGTGTCACAGTTCATTGGCAGTCTTCTCAATCAGGTTATCTGTTTGACTGATCCCGAGCAGATCACGATCTACGTATTATATCTTGGTTATTTAGTGATCAAGTCTAGAGACCAACTAGATTATGATTAATCGGGACATCCTTACTTGTGATAGGCTAGTGGCAGCAAGCCTTTGGAACTGCGAAAGATCATCCTTAGCAACTAAGCTACCGTCCTGCCGTGTCTTGGCATGAGGATCTGCTTTGCTCCGGATGAAGACTCCAATCATAAGTCAGTACGCTTGAAACGTGTTTGAGTTTAGTGAGAGACTGGCACATGTAAATGGACATGGTGTCAGACATTGGGTGGGTTACTTCCTCAATCAAGCTACTGCGCACTTGCCGATCTGACCAAAACCGGAAACACAGAGCAAGATGAGATGCAAAGAGGCTGGCTAGTAGACCTCTCCTTGCCAGCCGCCTGATCATGGATCCAAGCGGTGAGAACTATTCGAATAATACTTGTAGGTTGGAAGTTAAACTGTCTCCTCTCTCTAAGAACCGGGTATTTAAACAATGAAATGTCTCCTTGACATTCTACACTATCACTCATCAACTGATTCCATAACACACTCTCCTCGCACCACGTACTCTCGAGATCGAAATCAATATGCAAGCTGCAACACAACTCCCCGCCCACCAAAGGCCATTTGACCTACCAACCCCTTCCGAGCGAGTGACGTGCTCGAACGGCAATGAAGCGTATCGCTGGGTTCTCACTGAGAGTGAACGTCTCCACATGGCAGAAATGCTTGGTGTTGACAGTAAGAGCATCGCTCCTGCCTCACGACGTAATTACTAACAAAAAGCAGAGACTTCTATCAGCCTTCGAGGCAACGTGATGAACCGGGAGCGCATGGTTTGTGAGCGATGTGGTAAACATTCAGGACTAGATGATATGGTTCATAATGCGCTTTACGCCGGTGTCCACTATGCGTCATTTGTGAAAGAGATTATCGTCGATGGAAAGCCTCCTAGTAACGGGAGTCCTGCGCACGAGATCTTCTGCTCGAACTGCACTACCAAGCACATCGATGTTGGATACTGGGAGGGTGTGGAACCATGGCACGAGTAGACAAAGGTTCAGTTGGATGTCCAACTTCTATTCAATCAACTGGTCCTACGACAGAAGGGTGATGTGCTGCTCTTGATACTTTGACTCCCCAGCACGAGACGCCATGACTGCCTGACCGTCCATAAACCCATACATATAACACTCCCCAACCAACTGATATTCACCCTCGGCACCCTTTGGCCTGAGAACAAAAGGAACATCCGCACCTAGTAGCACAGCACATACATCACCGGTCTCCATAGCTGAAGGCCCCATTCCCCAATACCCATCAACAGTATTGAAGAAGCGCCGATTAACAGCATGTGACTTGAGACTTGGAGTGAAGGCTTTGCGAACCTCTAGAACTGTGTTCAAATCCCAGAATCCACCGCCCTCCTTCGGCTTTAGGTGAGCTTGGTAGAACGTATTGTTGAGATGCATGCAATAGCCCGCCAACTGCTCAACTACTCGCTCACGACCGTCCATGGGTTGGTTGCCTTTATGCTTGTAGTGGCATGCAAGTGTCGATGCAAATGCCATCATCGTCTCGATTTGTCGATACGGGTGTGGTTTCTGACTTGCTACGTCCCAGCATGTATCGAGGAGCTGCGCTCCGAAGTCCTTATCCTCTTCGAAGTCGGATGCCGTCATTGTTCTTGTGAACTGATCAATCTGGCCAATGATGATACCAGATACTCTCAGTTGATCTTCATTAACTTTGACTTTGGGAGGCCTCTGCTCCTCCTTTCGAAGACTGGCATCCCATGCTTCCCAGTAAGCATCCGCATGGCTTTCCGTTTTTTTATTCCATCTCGGGACCCAAGTCGGATAATCAGATCCATGCTTCAGACTAGCCTCTGTTTGGTGAGCTTGCACCAAGAAGTTCAACGAGTCCTGAGCAAGACTAGCAGCCAAAAGTCGATGCTGTTCCTGTACGTCTATTGAATAGTTTGCCTGTAACCACGGCTTGTTTGTAACAGGGTTCCTAGCTTTCGGATGACCAAGGAAGGCATAGACGTGATCCAATTGGTTGGTAGCATTGAAGTATCTCGAAGCCTCCAGAACAAGGACAAAGTCGAGGGTGCATTGACTGGCAAGCAGCTCGGCCCAAGCCCTTAGTAAAGGTGTCCGGTGTATCCAAGAGTCTGTCCTCTCGTAGGTAGACCACACGTTCCAGACAGCGTACAGAGGAGCACCCGAGAGCTTTTGGGACGTCTCAGGGCCCAATGCATGTCTGAGCTCCTCGAGGTAGTAGACGTTCCAGATGAAGGCGGCGATCTCGCTGAACTCGATAGTACTGTCGCCCCAAGTTGCCGTTGCTGACCTTGCTAGACCGACTTCTTGGAGCACCCATACGCGAGAGAACCAAGAAAGATCGAATAGTTTCCCAACAGAGTCTTTTCCTTTGGCGCCCAGTACAGAGCTATGAACTGATCTTCGTCCATAGGGCCTCGCCATGGGACGCGGCTCCGGCGACGCCTCAGTTTTCATAAATACTGTCGGCATTTCTTCTTCATCAGGGTAGAAATACTCCTTGTCTGTTTTTGTATGTATTTTGTAGTTGATGGTTTCTAGACAGCGAAATGCCTCAGCTCCGGAGCCTTCGGGGTCGGGACCAAGCCACACAACCACATGATGGGCGTTAGTGTAAATGGCACCCATCAAATCAACCTGATGTCCCTTTTCTACATTGTCATTTTGGTTGATGCAAATAGCATCCGCCCATGCGATTTCCACTGCATCAGCCTTTCGCAGTCGGCGGAGGCCGTCCGAAAGACTTCTTGTGATTTTGCAAGCGTGTCCTCCAAGTTCGATGTCGCCGACTTTGTCTGGATTGCCCCAGACGTAAGAGAGAGCTGTGTATGGTGTCGCATCATCTAGAGTAGATACGAAGAGTTCGCACACTAGGGGATCGCCTGAATAGCCTGGAAAGATCTTGAGCAGCCGAAAGTTGCGTCCAGGTGGTATAATCATGTACGTGAAAGATTGGGAATCCATGGCTGAGTTAATAATGTGAGAGCGTATGATTAGGGTTTGATAACAGAGACAGAATAAAGTATCAGATAAATATTTAGTGGTGAGAACCCCACAATTGGGCACACGCGAAGGGCGGGGTATTATACATCAGGGTAAGGTTGCTGCTTACTCTCTGCCTGATACATGGAGTGGAGTTGATCATGAAAACACAGTCGAGGGATAACAATTATAATAGTAATTACAACCGATCGAAGAATAGCCAAAGTCCTCCCAATAGCTCTCGTATCTAAACCCATCTTGTCTTCTAGGGATGACGTGAACGATAGTAGAGTGCAAGATAAGTTTCACAAGATAACGCAGTCATCATCTCCTCTACACACTGAGCATACATTTGCTGAACTCTTCTTGTATCGCCTGGTGCAGTGTGGACAAGTATCTTCCACAGTCAGCAAGCCGCGTGTACTGCAAATAGCTTTCAGATAGAGACTTACGATATGCACACCATGGCGAGATCTTGGTATTATAGTGGAGGCGGAGGTAGTCGTAGCCGCCTATTCTGCATTTGATAGGGTTAGGCATGGCTTGAACTGGGGCTATCTAGACGATAACGAGGACAACAAAGTGGAAACGAGGATAGGATAGGAATGATGAAAGCGAGAAAGTATCTGCTCAGAAGGAGGGGGAAGTCTACATATACCTGATAAAGTTTAAGGTAACATTCACAGTCGTTTACCTGTCACATTAACATGGTGTCTAATACGGATCAGAATCCAATAAATTAAGGCTTGGAGCTTATTTCAACCTGTGCCACACATTCGCAGCGTAATGCTTATATTCTACGTTTAGTGTAGTAAGTGTGGTCTGATTGCACTTTAGCAGGGCGTAGCACGGTTGGATATGGCGAGTCGGTGTCATTGGTGGGATCTGCACAATTGCCATCCTTCACAATGTCATCTGCTGCGGGGACTCCGTTATTGTGTCGTAAATGCTACCCTAACTGGGCTATTGAGTCAGAACTACGTGGAACGATGGCTTATCTTAGGTTACAGCCACATTGACATTTTCAACACAGAATGTCACTCTGGCGAGGCTGCTGGGATAATCATGCAACCTGGTGGACTAAGAGAAGATGCTATCAGATCATGTTGAAATACGCAATTCGGGCTTCGGTTTTTTTTTTTAATGCAATATTCTCGGAGCTTTAAAGACCGCTGGGCCGCAGATAAACGTAGACGGGAATCACCAACAGCACGCTTCACCGGTGGATAAAGTTATTATTGGTATTCTTATTACCACACAATTCTTATAGGCAGGCCATTTAGGAACAAGTTTTAACATTGACTATGTACGCGAAGGATAGAAAATACAGCTATCCATGGTCCTCGGCGACTGGATAAACATGCTTTTACAGTCTGACCAGTAGTCGCCGAGGTAAAGACGTTCTTCTACCAGATCTCCTGCTAATCACCTTGCGGCTCTAGGCAACTGGAAGTCTGAACTGAGCAGGCATGTTTCCATTAGACGTCGCAACAGTCGGGTTCGAGTTGCCATAGAAGTTGGGGCTATTGCCTGGGAGATACCAATAGATGCGAGTCGGTCCATTCTTCTAGGCGCAGGTCAGGAAAAGATCAGAATCGGCTGTGCAGGTAATGAAGCTGTAGATCGCAGGGTAGGCTGCAATGAAATCTACCTATTCGATTAGGAAGCCGTAATTACCACCGACAGGTATGACGGTGTAGGCATAGACTTTGGAACCATCGGAGGATGTGGCGTAAAGTCGCGAGGTATCTGCCTCGAGAGCGAACTCTGGTTGAGTTCCGGGAGCTTCTGTGGTGCCGATAAAGCCACTTGTTTACAGGTACACACCGACTTCACTACCATCGTCGAGCCGGGCGAAGAGGGAGGCTTGCGGACCCGATGCAGTGGTGGTAGTCTCACCAGCCGTAGTAGTGGTCGACTCCTCGGCCGCTGCAGTGGTAGTGGTTTCAGCAACCGTTGTAGATGTTGACTCTTCCACCAGGACAGCGGTAGTGGACACGTCAGGAGCCGCGGTGGTAGTGGACTCTTCGCCAACAGCGGTAGTGCTGCTTTCTTCCTCGGAGGTCACCGTAGAAACGTCACTGACGATGGCGGTCGTGGAGAACTGCTCGCTTGTGGCGACAGTAGTAGTTGATCAACCGAGGTTGTCGTCAGAGGTCTGCATGGCGCCGCAAGAGCGAAGCCCGCCTGCATGGAAACGAGGCAAATAGCGAGAGGCTGAAGGGAGAAACGCATAGCTGGAAAGAAAGGACGTGACTGAAAAATCACAGATCGTGTAAATGAACGTGAATCGAGAGGGATGAGTTGAATAATTCAATCAGTTGACGAGATGGGATTTTAAAGAAAACACTTCTTGGTCTCCTTAACTTCCTATGCAGTGGGCTTCTAGAGCGATCAAAAACTATCGAATTGCTTGAACGTTTAAAGTTTGGCGCTCGGCTCTTGTGTCAACGGCGCCATCGTAATCAGTCAGCCTAGTTATAGGTGGTTAGACACCTGCCGGTCAGGGTTAGTAGCGACCAAGATAAAGTTTCAATCGACAGATTACGATTTTGGACTATCAAGTACAGCATTATCAATCCCTTATTATTTCCATCCTTTGTATACACGAGGGACACCAGAGGGCAATATCGTAAGTGTTCTGAGTACGGCTTGGGATCCTAGTGGCGAAAACGCCCATAGTGATAGAAGCACAAGCCCAAGGATACAGAACTTTCCGAGGGAAATCTGTGCGATGAAATTTGATCAAACAGTGCGACTGCCAATCAGTTGTTCGAGAAGCCCAAGCGTTGCACCCTTCTCTAATTGCCATCCTACAGCCTCAAAGACCATGCGTCCGACAATGGAAGCAAACGCAATCGGGAAAGCAGAGGCAATCTAAAGGCATCGGCTAGAGGGCAAGGACTGTCATAAGACCAAACTGACAACGTTGATTGCATTTGTCCACTTCCGATACTCTTGTTGGTCTGTCTCCTTGTTGTCGAGACGCATTATAGCAATAGCAAATGCCACAAGAGCGATAGGTACAAGTATCGCTGCGCAGTCGGCGAAAAGCCTGCCGGGCATGAATTTTCGTTTAAAACCCCGCTCTCCATTTTGCAATTTTGGTCGAGGCGCATCTGCACTGTTGACGCTTAGATCTGTAGCCGTCGCGTCTTTCTTATCTTGAGTGTCGGGAGGATTGTCTGTAGATGGGAAGTCCGCCAGGAGGTACGATGGATCGGAAGGTTGAGCCATAGCGTGATACTATACGGAGAATAGGGAGTTGGAGAGGAAAAGAAGCTACGTACGGATATTATAAAAAGGTTGCCGAGGGCAAATCGGCGACTTCCACACCGAGAACGGATTCATGGTCCTAGAACTAAAATCTCACTTATCTTGGCATTACAGGGGCGATTTATGCGACTGTATTGACTCATTGGCTGGAATACTATTTATCCTTGATTGTAATACCTTCGAGGATTAGTGCATGGTAAACACCTCCACAGTCTGGAGATGCAGATAGATGATAGGAGCAAGAAAAAGAGACCTTAGGGTTTGGGAACCGGGCTTGACCTGCTGTATCACTAACTATCCGGCTACATCTAGCTGTTTCTTCTCTCTAAGGTTCTGAACTACTATACAATCCTAGCCTCTCCCTCGTTACTGCCCTTAGAGACAAGTCCCCCAACAATTTAGAGAAAAGAGATTAATGCACGAGATAATGAACGTGCTCGTTGCGAAGTTAACAGCGACAATAATAGTAACGTCCCCAACAAGATATAATCATCCGCACATCCAACTTGCAATTCATCGCCACTTCAGAGGCAATAGCATACAGTCTACTAATAGACACCTACGTTTAGATACCCTATCAGCAGTGTTAGAAGAAACGCCACCAGGAGATACGTCCGTCTTGAGGCATATTCTCGACCCGCCCTGGTCTGAAGAATGCTGACGAAACACTAAATATCCGTTGTCCCTCAATACACATCTCCTGTATTGTTGATCTGGTCAGGGCTGTACGTACGTCTCTCCTGGCTCTGCATAATTACTTAAGGAAGACTGCACATACTTTGTGACACTACCTGATACGAATTATTGTTCAGTAGTATCCAGGGCAAGTCATAGGTTGCTGTAGCAAGTAAGCATGCTGCTAAACAATTACTCTTATCCGACATTTTACTTTTACCTCTCCGTTCTGCAGGCCTTATGCAACAATAAAAGATATCATGGCCTCTGTCGAAGTCAATGGCGCACCGTTCTCCGAGGCGCATATCGCAGAGTTTCTTATTATACGTTCTCTCGGTCAATATCATTGGGTTTCCAATTCAGCTAGTGTAAAGATTGCAAAAAAATGAATTCCGTCCCCCCGTCTGTTTCCCGAGACCGTGGCGCCCTTACCTGTCCACCTGTTTCTAAGAATGACAATAGCACGTTTGTGTATGATGAGAACAAGGGCTTATAGGTAACGTTACTATGCAAGCAAATACGCTACAATAAAACAGTCACAACCAGTCACGTCTACAGTGTCAACGCTCAGCACTTCTACAGAGTCCCGATATACCCGACAATCCTTCCAGCATCACTTTTGAAGATCTGCAGCATCAACCTCGCACTATTAGGGTTGTCTCGCCTGGGTGCCCGGCAGGCTAGGTAACCAAAGTTCCCGCAGGAAGCGGATCTACTCGGCGGATCAAAGGTTCCTGTCAAGGATCGTCATCGAATCAACGCCTTTCCGGCAGGTTCAAATGGAAGGATCGAGAGGTGTGGGGGAATGTGTGTTATGTTCCTGCACGCATTGATAGCGGATGATGATCTTGACTATTCATCAGTAAATCCTATTGATGTAGATCTTGTCGGTGAAGGTAAGAGTTGTTAATGCAGAGGCGAAAAGGTAAGACAGCGATGGGATACCAGTCTGGGCTGGTCAATATGAATGACGAGAGAATTCCTAGCGTGATAAGCAGTGAGTGACGCCAACTTTGCAATACCTTCAACGTGCAAGTAACAGAACAGTCAGCTGACGGTAATCATATCAAAGGCGTAAAAGTAAGAACAGGATCGCATTCAATTGCATCCATTTGATGGTAACGCATAACAATATTCATGCAAGTCTAATCGTTTCTTGTCCTCCACCCGACTCACTCTCCTATGAATATACAGAAGCGCCTTAAGAGGCTAGCTCAGCGGATTGGGCTCAGCCTGTCCAGTCCTGGATTTCTCACGTCAGCCTGCGGAGAGATTAAATATCATTGCCGACAGATGAAAGCATGAGATCTGCTGTGATGAACTGGATCTGGGCCAATTATTTTTGAGTTTGTCCGAGGCGAAAGTACCAAGGTATATGGATGAAAGCAACAAAATACTGGATCTGGGCCAATCGCCGTTTCGACCGACATCCGCGAAGGATCCGTTCCACTTCAGCCCCCAAGAAATGACGTGGTTTGCTTACTATTTGAGACATGCCGAAATGTGTACCTGTTCCATCACACCCTTACCGTTCGAAATGGTGCGTAAAGTCACTTGGATCTTTTGATTCTGGAAACCTGGCTAGGCTACGAGGTGTCTGAATGCTTGTAGAGAGCGGAGAGTGTAAGCTATGCGGGGAGGTTCAGCTGACAGGATCTACATCGCTGCCACTTCAATGCCGATCCGACAACACCGGATGCTTTCCTATCGCCAGCCTTGGGACTCATTGGCCCAAGCACCTATTCAAAAGAGAATATGCACGAAAAGAAGTCCTGGTGATCTTTCAGTGACCCAGTAATGGCGATGACATCACACGGCCAGATGTAGAGTGACGCTCCTATCACGCAGTGGCTATGATGTTAACGTAACAAGGATAGCAGCAGAATTATTTGAACTATGGATTGGTATATAAAGAGTAGTAATTCCCCAAAGTCATCTGTTTCCAAATCATCACACTTGACTTCTTTCTCATACCCTTACACACACATATACACACACACACACACACACACACAAAACACAAATAGTAACATCAAGATGAAGACTACTGGAATCTTTGCTATTCTCTTTACGTCGATGGCTGCAACTGCAATCGCAAGTCCCAACGCATTGCCTATGGGAGTTGAGGTTGTCGAACGCGACGGCAAGACCATTGTCCGTGAAGTGGTATGCCCGCCTAACCTTGGACACACCGCTGGACTTACCTCCGAGACTAACATCATATTATAGCCACATGCACTGTTGAGTCGCGGACTTGAACCCCGATGCCGAGAATGTGTTGGCCAAGGTGGTAAATGCACCATTGGCGATGGCAGCTGCTATGCCGAGGATCCCCCATGTGAGTAGAAACCATTCTTTCATTGATCGAGCGGCTCGACTGACTTTTTCACAGTGTACTGTACATGGTGCGGTGACAAGTGCGGATCTCGTTGTGTTCGTCAGGGACAGACTTGCCAGCAGACATGTGTTTAGGACTGGGCAAAAGCGGAACGATACGTTTATGCCAAGAGCAAGAGTTAGCAGACCGAATACAATCGCTTTCAATGTACCAAATTTACATTCCATAACGATCTTTATACATACTACGCAGTTATATAAACATAAAAACACTAAATTATCTAATTGTCAGTTGCTGTTGTACCCTTCTCGTATTGCTCACTCCGGCCATTCTGTATTAGTGTTGCACAGCATCTTAAAGTGAAATGTCTCTGGTTACCATGATTGCAAAGCTGGAATGACAAGGATGTGGCCAAGTTCCAGTGGAAGTCAAGCTAATAAAAAGATTCTAAAGACTGTAAAACAAGAAAGGGATTCAGTACGGAGTGTTGCGAGAGTAAAGCTGTTCATGGATCAAACAATGTTTGTAGGGTAGCTAGCGTCTGAGCCCCGCCTTGCCAAATTGTAAGCGACATAAATATATGGATCGTGTATCCACAAGCACGGTTGATACAACAACAACAACGATTCAAAACAACCCATCCTGCATATTGAATAGTTCCATCAAAAACGCGACCAATTGGAAAACACGTAAGGAAAATGCCTCTTGAATTCGAAATAGATAGCTGGATCCAGAAGATCGATCCCTCCTCCAAACCTATCGCACGAAAAGAAGAGGCCAACCAGGAGCCCTTTCTGAAACGCCGACGCGTCAATACCGTTACCACAGACGCGTCGCAAAATGAGACAAGCATGCATTACGAAAGGAGTCTCAATTCCTCAAAGCGCTCTCGAAGTGACGATTTGGAAACACCGCGCCCGACAAGGCGAACCATAACACCGAGAAGCGAGTCTGGTACCTCGTTGCCCTTCACACAATCAGGTACCTCACAACAATCGGAAATCTCTTCACGTACCGAGCAATTGAGCATCCTTCAACTTCACAAGAAAAGCGTCGTGGCCAAACAACTGAGTACCTTCCACGATAAGCCTGCGACATTGGAAATTCTCTTGGACAAAATCGATCTCGTTTCTTCAGGAATTGGCATCTTGCCAACTTCTCACGCTCCGCTATTTAGTAATCTCGACAAGGAGATTTATAACGATTTCAAATGGACGCAAAAGCCGGTCTTCAGCAACTTCCTTTTCTCAAACGACCGTGATGAGGTTGGCCAAACACCTCTACCTGAGACTATTCAGTGGATCCTTCACGAGGCAGCTTTTTGTGACAGTAAAGGCTGCTCTGAGAAAGATTGGAATACTGAAGTCCACCATCGGGTCCTTGCAGCTGCATTGAGACCGTTACACGGCCCGCGAAGAGACCAACTATTCGACTTCAGACTAAGTGCATCCGCTTCTGTCATCCCTGAGTACCATGTCACGTCAGCATCTAAGGGAGCTGACTTTTGTATGTACATCGACCCCAAGCAGGATGTAAGTCCTGAAGTGGTGGAGATCATCGGGACTATCAAACAAAGTCTACCGATGGGCGTCTTCAACCACGCTAATCTGGGCCCTCTCTCGGACAATCCCATTGCTGTTGGTATCGAGACCAAGAAGACTACCGGTGAAGGCTGGGAAAACGCCAAGCTCCAGATGGAAGTCTGGATGGCGTCGCATTGGCAGTTCCTACGTAAACTTCTTGAAAAGCGACAATGCGCAGCAGAAAGGCTGTCTACAATGAGGTCAAGAGCAGGTGAAATGAGTTTCTGCTCCGACAAGATTTGGGATCTACCAGAATTCATACCGGGCATTATCATACAAGGCCACGATTGGTATCTAATTGTCACAACAGCAGAAGGAGAAAAGACAATATTCTGGCAGAAAAAGACACTTGGGGATACATCAAGTTCAAGAGGGATTTATCAGATTATCTATAATTTGCAGCTATTGCGGCAGTGGGCCCAAGAGGACTACTGGAAGTGGCTGAAGGATGTCTTGCTCGAGTGGCCTCAGTCTGAAGGAGAATTGGTTTTTTAAGTAATTCATATTACTCCAGCTTGTCCAATGGAAGCTCCCCTACATAAGATGTATCATGGACAGAGCCGTTTCATTAGTTATTGGGACGCTACTCACTTTAGATACTGCATTCTACAAAGTATCGAGATTAGTCTATAACGCATTTTTTGCACAGCCGAAACCCAATATT